TACTTAAATTTAGAATTCTTTGCATATTGCTTCTAGTTTCATTTCAGGAGCTAGTTCTCTTTCTGCATAGACAGCATTATACTTTCACATTCTGATAATTGCACATTGTCCTGTTGCACATAAAGCTGGGAAACAGACAGAACGCTACAGAAAGCATTTCTGATGTAGTGACCGGAATTCATAAAGGTTCATCGGAGTCAAGTAGCCAACATCAGTTTTGCTGCAGTCCAAAATTCTGACAGCTGACAAGATTAGTAAGAGTATAAACCAAAGGCTATTCTTCCTCTAGGGACTTGATAAAGACCATTTTGCTTAAATACAGTATTCATCCTTACACTGTTCATTTTACCCTAAAAATGATGAGGTATCTTTACCAAAATGCTAATTACCCACACAGCTTTCCTCCACCTCTGCTTAGTTGTGTTTCTGGTCTTGTAGTGGCTTTGCTGGGATAGAATTAATTTTCTTTATGGCAGCTTATAGGCTGCTGTGTTTTAGATTTGTGACTACTCAGCATCAGTAGCACAGCAGCATTTGAGCTGTTGCTGGGCAGTGCTTGCACAGCTTCAGGGCCTTCTCGGTTTCTCTCTCTGCAATTTCAGTGAGTAGGCTGAGGGTGGGAGGGAATGACCCAAATGGACCAAAGCACTCAAGGCCCAAGGGCCCAAGACTCAAGTCTTTCTCAGTTTATTCTGGCACCAGCCAGCTACTGGGCAGTGAAATGCTGCAAGAAAACAGTGTGAACCAGTAGGGTTTTCTTCAGTGATCTTTGTAAACTGGAAAACAAATTGTTCCAAAACCAGGAGAAAATTCTAGCTTACTCAAGAAAAAAAAATGGGTTTTGTTCTCCCATAAGCATTTTAAAAATCCATCATATTCATAGGGACCAATGGGATAAAACATCTATCATGTTTAGACACAAACTAAGCTAATACATACAGATGCTAAGAAGTTACTATGCTATCATCTAGCTAAAAAAAAGCCACCTGAAACCTTTGTGAAAATTGCTTACCCATTAAGAGTAGATTCAGTGGGCAGGTTGAATATACAAGTTACCTGCTTCAAAGAAACAGTTATTTCAAACTCAGAATTAAGGGTTTCTCTTTCCCACAAGGCATACTGGGAAGGATGCTTGATACCAAGAGGCGTGATTGCTCTTGACCTTTGTGCAAACCATTGGGCATAGTTTCAAATGGATATTTTTTTCTAGGTTGCCCTTAAACATGCAAACTAAGTAACAGTAATTTTAGATTTGCTTTGAGAAAAATAAGCCCCTAAGATAAAAATTTGAGAAGCTCACGGGATCATTTTTCAACCCTGGAATTTGAAAAATAACATCTGTACTCTACTATTAGTCTTTTCCCATTCAAGCATCATCTTTTTTATACAGAGGCCTATAAATCAGAAAGTGCTAAATAGAAGAACTTAGAAGAACGAAATACACACAACAGTCTTTGTCATTGAAAATCACTTTACTGATGTTACAATATGTTAGTTACATTGAAAACCACAGGCATTTGTATTAAATACTCTCATAGAAGTGGATAGTGTAACGATGTTATTATTAAAAGTGAGCAGGAATTTAGAACCCCAAATTACAATGATTTGATTTTATAAAAAGCAACCTTTTGTTTAGCTACATGAAAGCCAGATTCATTCAACAGCCCAATGCCTGTAATGTTTATGACAAAAATATCACACTCAAAACTAGAAAGTTGTAAATTGCAATGCTTCGTTTTGGTGTTTGTCAAAACATTATGCTTCTGTTACCTCAGATATGATTTTTAAAGGATTTTAACTAGCAAAGACAACGATATGGTGCAGATTGTTGTTTTTGCCAATACTAGCCCAGCCACAGTGGTGAAACATGATTCTTCTTGCCTCTCTCAATAAGGGCTAGTACGAGTGAAAAAATAGCTTTTTTTTTTACAGCAATGCCCAAGTTAAGCACTAGCACAAAATGAAGATGGCAGAGCCAGTTGGTCTATACCACCCCAAAAGCTTTGCTGAAAGAACCGGTCATACCATAAATAGTGTTTTCTCCAGCAGGTTAAAAATTCTGTAATGCTTTGCTATTCTGAAAAAAATACTTTGCATTTATGCAATGATAAAAATAAGTACTGTATTCTATATAAAACATTACCTATTGTAATATATTTTTACCCTTAAGAAAAGAAAAATCAGGTTATATATTCACAGTTTGAATATGTTTTGGACTGTATTTCCAAGCATAAAATATGCAGAGTCTACACAGGCAGTGAGCAGGAGTTCTTGTACCAATAATCAAAATAAATCAGCATTTACTGTTATACAGAGCCTTACAATATTGCATGGTTATCTGCTCGCATCACTATACTTACAAGGTCAGTCAGGCCTATATACAGAATTTCTAACATGGTTGTAAAAATAGACTCTCCATGCTAAAGTTAGAATATATTAGGTCTTAAGGCCTCATGTTGATTTTTTTAACAAAAACTTATTTTTTTTTACTCATAGGAATACAGAAATAGAAAAAAAGTTTGTTCCTTTGACATTTTATGCTTTAGCAGTTAAAGACAGTGTTAAAGCACCTGTACTTCTCCCTTAGCGAACGTTTCTTTTTAACTGCTGTGTGCTTATTTTCCCAGATTTTCCTCATCTCATTCTGAGTTATATTGCAATTGCAGCTTAAGTAGCACAAGTTTTTAAACACTTTAAAGCTGGCTTAGTTGAAGTGATTTTGATACTGTTGTAGACTGGATTTTAGAGAACTAAAACTGCCAGATCTGGTTAGGTGAGCCAATTTTGAAGCCAGGTACAGAGTCTCAAGGGTGAGCAAATTACCACATTTCTGTGTTCTGAACTTATTTTTACTCATTGTTTTGGTTACTTGGCTAAGATAACATATTAATGTTGACTGTTGTAGTGCTTTCTCTAAAGCTGCAGAAAACGGTTGTGGAATGACAAGATACCACATGCTGGGTGCACAAGCTGCTGTTTCCAAAGCTTTAGTTTACATCAGCATCCATACTTGAGGCACCGCAAATGATTTTCATAAGCTGACTTAGAAAATACTCACGTCAAAGCAGTTTCTTGGTGTAGATGATAGAAACTATTAACTCCTTTCCTGTTCTGGTCAATTCACACTTAAGAGGGTCCTATCTGTTTGCAGCTATCAGTTTCACTGTTTCCTTTCTTCTGCTCTATTAGGATAATAGTTAGGCACACACGGGAACCTTACCCACCATGCAGTCGTGGGATTACAACCTGCACATATATGTGCAGTTTATTTAAATTTGTCTTCAGGAAATGTGATCAAAGTCAAATACCGTATTGCCAATAAATGTCATGTGATTTGGAAGGCATGCAAAGAGTGGGTCATCAGCTCAGTAGTCTGATGGATAATCCATTCTGGGAATAAAAAGTCTTCAGCACAGACCAAAATGCTCAAGTTCTTTAAAAATGAGGCAAACAACCTCACACTGTGGTTGATAACAGTGGTCCAAACAGTCCACTGTTATCCAGTGACACTGATACTCAAATAGTTTAGCTAAAGAAATGAATGATCTTCAGCCTTGGAGCAAGAGAAACAGGAAACAGCTCAACTTTTAGGTTCACAAACTTGGTGATTAAAGAGGCTTAGCCTTCAACAATGCTAGAAGATGAGAAAGACACGGGATGGCTGAGCCACCAAGTGATTTTACCAGCTGTCATCATGGTTTAACCCCAACCAGTAACTAAGCCCCACACAGCTGCTCACTCACCCCCCACCCTCCAGTGGGATGGGGGAAGAGAACTGGAAGGGCAGAAGTGAGAAAACTCATGGGGTGACATAAGAACAGCTTAATAATTGAAATGAAATAATAGTAGTAGTAGTAAAAAAAATAATGAAAAGGAAATTAACTGAGAGAGAAATAAAACCCAAGAAAGACAAGTGATGCAAATGAAAAGAATTGCACACCACCAACAAACCAATGCTCAGCCAGTCCCTGAGCTGTGGTTCCCCACTGCCAACCTTCCCCCTAGTTTATAGCTGAGCATGGTGCCACCTGGTATAGAATATTCCTTGGATCAGGTGAGGTCACTACCCTAGCTGTGTCCCCTCCCAACTCCTTGTGCACCCACAGCCCACTCTCTGTTGGCGCAGTGTGAGGAGAAAAAAAGGCCTTGGCTATGTGCAAGCACTGCTCAGCAATAAATTCCCCATGTTATCAACAGTTTTCAGCACAAATCCAAACCAGAGTCCCATACCAGCTACTGTGAAAAAAATTAAGTCTACCCCAGGCAAAACAAGCACACCAGTGCAAATTGTACGAGATGTGAGGTGCCATCACCTACGCTATAGCAAAAGCAAAAGATCATAGAATCATAGAATGATTTGGGTTGAAAGGGACCTTAAAGATCATGTAGTTCCAACCCCCCCTGCCAAGGGCAGGGACACCTTCCACTAGACCAGGTTGCACAGAGCCCCATTCAACCTAGCATTGAACAATTCAAGGGATGGGGCATCCACAACTTCTCTGGGCAACTTGTTCCAGTGTCCCACCACCCTCACAGTGAAGCATTTCTTCCTAATAAGGTGACCAACTTAGCAGCTTTCTGATCTCAGCCAACTCATACAAGAGGAAATTAGTGGATAAATCATTCATGAAAATACTTTTCAGTAGGAGTGGAAAGGGGACGGAAGAGAACAGGAGCTTGATGAGTTTTACACTGGAGTGCAATAACTTTGCTTACAACAGCTATGTATGGGATTCGCAAGTCCTAAGAGCTAACTGGTTATCCTTTAGGATTATGAAGTCTCATCCTTCTTTCACATTACATCCTATCCTATTCATTAACCAATTCATTAATGAAATTACTGCATATTTGGTCAGAATTTCTAGTATATGCATGTCTATAGTATTGTATGTACCCACTCTTTGCTCTGATTTTGAAACAGTTGTCACATAAGTGTTGACAAGACCAATCAGTCCGAATCACCAAGAGGGATTCGAGTAAGAGGATTTCAGTACACTAGCTATAGACACAATTTCTTTCTGATTTTAATTCAGGATATAGCTCAAAAGTCCACTTATTCATCAGCACAATCAAAATTATTTCATGAGCGCATCAGTTCAGCAGATTCAACATCTCATAAACCAGGAACTCTTAAATCATTTGGAAGAAGCCATCTTCAAAGTAAAGTCACACTTCAAATCAGATAACTGGCAAGTAGTGGCTTAAGTTCACAACTTAAGCAAAGGTAGGCTGTACAAAATTAATAATCTCCTTGAATCTAATTACTTAAATATAACAAAATTATACATAAATTATCAGTCACAACCATTTCTGGTATATTGCCTGAGATTACTGAAGTTTTTGAATCAACAAATACAGATATTAGCAGGAAAATTTTTACTTATTAGACTGTGGCATCATTGTGCAGCATTATTATTCGGATATGATCTGCATTTTCCAGTCTCCATCAGTTAGTCATACTAATTTCATTATAAATTATGCAAGATTCTTCTCTCACATTGAAATACATAAAGCCAACTATAACTCATCCTGCAGGTCCTATGCTCATATGAACAATTATTTCTATTTGAGAAGAACTGATAACATCCCCACTTCAACAAGCATCTGCAGTGTAGCTGGCAATAATTAGTTCATTTCTTAAAATTAAAACAATAAAAGCATGAGTCTCAATGAGTCAAAATCACTGAGCTATCTTAGTGACAAGTACTCTACTTTAGTCTGGATGAGGTATTATGCAGCAATTTTATATTGCTATTGCCAGTGTAACTAACTATAGTGGATAAAAATATTTGCAATCTTCAAGGTTATTAATCTGGCAGCTTTCCAACACACTACATTTTAGAAGTAGGAAATGACAGACTGTAAGTAAATAACTTCTCTCTCCAACCTCCAGTGGCTTGGGAGGCTCACACAGCCCTGCCAGTTCAGGTTTTGTGCAATGACAAGGTTTCCCAAGTTACCAACCTGACGGAAAATTCTCTGCAGCAGAATTTTACAAAAACCCAAGTCCTGTGATATTCTCACTCTAGACCAAAGTGAAAGTCAATATTTATTTAACTTAAACTTAGTGCTCATAACTAGACTTCCAGTCACTACATATTTCCAGATTTGAAGGTGACTGTTAAAGGTACACTACACACATAACTGTACCATCATATGCTACAAACAAATTATACCAAAACAAAAGAGAAGCTGGAAGTACCCACTACATTGAAAATACAGTCAGGAGAGCCATTTGTTCGCAAAACAAGGAGCTATGAACATTGCACAAAGAGCCAGTATGTTATATCCAGCTCTGTCTGCCAAACCTTGCTGCTCCTTGGTAAGGCAAAATGGAAAGGGAAGAGTAAACAGTGGTAAACATAAGATAAGCACAGAAATCTAACAGAATTATTCAAAATAACACACCAGTTTGTATCCAAACAAATACCATAAAAGGCACATGATGAACAGTCCAGTTACTGAAGACAAGATATGAATATGGGAGGGAAAACTAGCTTCCAGGGAACAGAGTAACACAGTGGCTATAGGGTTAGCATAATGTCCTAATGTGGGTGAACTTCTTGAAAGTCCTGCTTAAAGTCCAGTGAAATCAATAAAAGACATACTGATTTCAAGTTACTATGGCTGAGACCCTAATTTCATGAGTTACATGCAACCAACTATCTTTAATCCAGTTATCTACACTCAAAGTAAATCTTTGCAAAAATATTCTTCAGTGCTGATGGATATTTACCTTTCATAAAAGTGCAGAACCTTTTCCTAAAGCAATTACAAGTGACTGGCTCCTTCCAGATGGTCTGTCTGCACCCAATGGCACTCACTTAGATTTGTCTTTTTCCAAAATACTTACCAGAACCTGTCAGCTGTGAAGGAAAATCATTTGAACACCAAAGCCAATATTTTGCCATAATCCAACATACAGCCTAATCATAAAATATAGTGCTTCTAAAAATCTTACATACTTTACACTTGCTGACATCTTTAAACATTTCTTAGTTTAATCTTAATATATCTAACTTTATTGAGAGACGTAAAAGTTAAAAAAATATATTAAAAGGTTGCAAGTGTTGGGGTCACTTATTAAAGGAAATACATGAAAGAGGTAGAAGATTCAGAAACACCACAGATGTTCCCATTACAATAATATCTAATTGATCATACTGCTGTTGGGCAAGGTATTCAACTGCACCACAGTCAGGTGTTTTATTCTGCAATGGTGCTACCCGAAGCTAAGAATCGGTCAATTTTGGAAAGCCAGAGAATTATACATTGATTTAATATGGTCTAGTTCCTTTACTAACTGAAAATTCCCAAACGGAAGATATTTGTTTTACAACAACCTTTAGAAGTCTCAGGTGTTAGAAATATAACCATCCACTGACTCAGGAGATTAACATCTCCATGGTAAAGGCTTTGTTGCCCTCCACCCTGTTCTTTTTAGGCTAAACTCACTTGTACTCAATTTAATGCCCCAAAAAATGTCAAGGGGTCTTCAGGGGTAGCAAGCACAGCATTCAAGCGCATGGTAAAGGTGATTCCAGTAAGAAAAAAAATTAAAAGACAGCAATGAAACTGGCCACTTGCCCAGCACTGTTATTATCTAGTGCAGTGAAATCCTTATACTTCTCATAAGCTATGCCTTGCCATCTAAAACAGTGTCTGAAATGGTCTATCAAAAATACACAGCAACTCTCACCAGACAGACTTCACATCACCACATCCTGAACTGACTACTTAAAAGTATTCCCAAATGTCCAGTAAGTTTGGGCTGCACATGACTTAAAGACTATGTTGTCTGCTGAATCACTCTTGATTACACCTGTGAGAGGATACAGTGCTCATCTCACTGAACAATGGATTTTGGCTGGTTCCTCTTACGATAATTTAAGACAAAGTGCTGCTGTACCGGTTTCTGCAGTCTACTGTACAACTGAGATTGTCAAGACAGTATAAGATGGTTAAAAATAGTACAGATTTTGGTCAAACACCAGTTTCTGACAGACACAGTTTTACAGTACTGTACTTTCAGTATTTCCAAAGATGTCTGCTCGTAATATTAGAAAATCTGAAGTGTGATGATGTTAGTCATGACTGTTTCTTTAGGCATTTGGCAAAATACACTTACGTATAACAGCTATTTTTGACATTATCAAATGTTTACATATATACAATCTGTATATTGAGATTATAAACATGTAAGGTTAAAAAAAAAAAGATATGATCCTTGTTTGTTTGACATTTGTGTCAAATAGTTGCCTTTCAAAGTTTGAAATCCTGTCACAAAAAAAAATCCTACATGTCTTACTCCTGCATGCTAATCTCTACTACAGCATGTTGTTTATCCCTTACATGTGGAAAGTAAAGAACACAAGGTTCATGCATACAGCGTACAAGTTTACATCGTCTGGGCTCTCCGGGAGGCACATTCCCAGTTCCATTTTGGTCTGACTCGGGACTGCAACAAACCAGAGAAACACCTCTCTTATTCAGGACTGGCAAATGGACTGCAGTTGGGATTCTAGGTAAGTGTATCTGTCATCATGCGGCATAGCCTTGTCACATCCGGGCTAATTATCCTCTATTAATTGTTATGATTTTGGTTGTTCATCAAATCCGTAAAATACTAGTCAACAAAAAAGAAAAAAAAAAGACTGCTTTTTTCCCTTCCAGATGAGAGGAAGTTCTCACTGCGATCACGGGCATCTCTGTTGATCTTTCAAATTGTCTGAAGAGCAGATGAATGTGCAATGACTCAGTGATGCTGAGTTTCTATAAAATCCAAAGTAAACAGTTCTGATGTGACCCCAGGAAAACAGTGCAGCTAGATGGACGTCTCCCATAGCTGGAGAGGAGGAAAAGGAACACAAACACACATTGAACACCAAGATAAAACAGGCTGTTACCCAAACAGTGCAAGGAGCTTGTTTGGGGAACTGCATTTAAATCACTTGGGTTACCAAGGCTATGCTCTTGGTCTCCTCCCAGCCTCTGGTGGGTATCTGCTCAGACCACAAAGTCAGCAGACAGTCTCAAGCATTTTAGCATGACTTGCAGTTGGCATAGTAAATGTCCATGGCTGGGAGTGCAAAGTGTTTGAAGGAAAAATGTCAGTGTAGCATCAAACTTGTACTAGACAGCTTTTACCTTACAGTTACACTAACTAATATTAGTGTAGACATAATTTCCCATTCTTTTCTGCCTAACTCTGCTCAGAACAGCTTGACTTTCTGCTGTGGGTTTGAGCTGCTGCCAAAGCAGCTCCAGGGCTGAGACACATCAGTAAAGCCCGGCCTCCAAGCTGTGCTGAGAGACCCTGTGCTGCACCTCAACAGTTTCTGCCCTGAGCAGCACCAGGAGTAGCAGCTTGCAGATTCCCTCAGCAGTACTCCACTCCTTTTTTTCTTGACAAAAGAGGACAGAGAACAGTGATGAGCATCAGCAACATGAACCAAAGGTATTACAAGTAAAACTTCTAAAGCATATTTCAGGGCTTTTTTGCTTATTCAAATACCTGCTATGTCTAAATTAACACAAAGGAAGCAAGAGCTAGCACTGCGTTTTGGAGCAGCTGGAAATCTCTCTATATGGAGAGATCCACCCACCAAACATTCCAGCGGTCCCTGCTCACCCTGGGGGGGTCAGGGTGGGGCTCAGGTCACACAACAACGAAGTCCCTCCAGGTCTGCAACGGCTTGGTGCAATCCCTCCACACGCTACATAACAGGAACTTTGTTACTTTTCTATAAAAAAGTAAAAAAAAAAAAGCTGCTGGAAAGCAGCTACCCCCCAAGCCTGAATGAGAGTTGCTGGGAGAAGGGGAAAGGAAGGAGAGCCAGACACATCACTTGCTCCAGGGCTGCCTGTCCTCCACACCCCAAAGGCTGCCCCAGGCACTCTCTCAGCTTGAAATAAGAAAAGTAGTGAAATCTGAGCTTCAGGGCAGGTTTAAGAGCAACCTGAACAGCTCTCTGTAAACACAGCCATCTGCTTAATGGCTGCCTTAATGACTGCCAGAGGCTCAGCCTTCAGCAACTTCAGAAGTTCAGGGTGCAAATGAAATGCCACTCTTGCTCTCACTGCTAGTCACAGGTGTTGATCTGCTCATTTTCCTTTCAAAAAACTACCAGTAAATGAAGTCACTGATGAAATGGAGAGAGAAGAGGGATACATACCCTGGCACTTTGCCTGTTGGCTTTTTTCTCTTCATCAGGAAGTGGTGGCATCGGGTAAGGATATTTTCTGCTGGAAGCAATAGATCCAGTGGATGAAGATGGAGACTTTGCAGGAGACAGTGTCCTGAGATGTTGAAACACACAAAATAAATGTGATGCTTTTGCACTCCAGCACTGCAACAGCAACTGCCATTACTCTGAAGCTTGGTTCAGAACCAAGTATTTAGCTTATTATTGTCTCAATCAGGGGGATAAAATTGCTTCATCAGAAGTCTAATAATTTCATTATATGAATAAAGGTATTTATAGATTTCAGGAACACTGGAAGAAAAAATAAAATTTGCTACTTCTTATTAGAATTGTATTGCATAACAAAAAGGATTTCCTAAACTGTTTTATACAGTACTGTAATTATTAATTATAACATTAATAAAACAAATCTGCAGTTGAATAAATACAGAACTAAAAGATATTATAAGGCCTAAATAGAAAGAGTAATTGTATAAATAAAAGCTGAACAACATCTTCTGCCAGTGACTAAATGGTAATTATCAGTGTCTTTATGGATGTATTTATATTGATACAAACATAGCAAATAAATCTATTATTCTTATAACACATTAAATTACACAAATGCATGCACTTAGAGGCCAAACTGTTAGTTGTGAAGTAACAAAGGCATATACAAAGTGCTAATAACAAATTATTATACATGCAAGCATCATACAGTGCATATTGTTCCAGCCAAAGAAAGAGTCTGATGAGAATATACAAAAATGGACTGATTAGTCAATGGCAATCAGCATTTCTGTACAAGGTGAGTAGAGTAAGCAGGAGCAAGTAAATGTTTGTATCACATGAAAGGCATTCTTTTCATGTCAATAAGGCAGCAGCACATTATTGACTGAAATTTTATACCCAAGAAAAACTCTTATGCTTCTGTTTTGAGATTCTGCACTTTTCCCACTTAAGAGGGTCCTATCTATATGAAAGGCTCTAAATCTGGGCAGAATAAAAGGGAAAAAAAATCCTCAAAGTAGAAAAATTGAGCTACCCTGGCCTCCTTGTTCTCTTATGCAGACCAAGGGAAGCCTCACACTAGTGCAGGCACATCACCCAGACCCTCCCTGAACACCACTACCTACTATCTTCTGAATTTAATCATCCCTGAAGATGGAGGATTTCCCTCAGTCCCTACAGACAGGTCTTCCAGTCCCTCAAATGTAGAAGGGGGTTGCAGTGTCCTGTGCAGCTGTAGACCCCAGTGATGAGCACTATTGCCAACATCACTGATTCCAAGGAATCACAGGAGTGACCCCTGGCAGGCAGCCCCACATGCCTGGCTCTGGAATGTAAAGGATCAGGTCCTTTCATCTAGAGAGGACTACAGACAAGGCAGGGACTCTTGTGTCTGGAATTGTTTTGTATCTCTATTACTAAGTGAAATTTATTTACTTTTAAATAATTGTATTTTTTATTCTGGACTAGTGTATCATTTGGTTGTGTCTGCAGCTCCCTACAACAGCACACTCTCTTGCCTCCCATACAAACAATGACTGATGGTAGCCACGAGCAACAAGGTGTCAATGGAAATTAAACAGTGAGAGCTCTCCAGTCTGGCTTATGATCCTCTAGTGACTCATGTGGTAGCCTCTAAGTTCAACAGCACTTAAAAGATTTGGGTTGGTACAATTATCCAAACATGGAAGCGTACATCTTCAGTACATGCACTTTGATTGCCCATTAAGATGAAGTGGACATACATTAATGTTTTCAGGAAAAAAAACTTGAAACAGTTACTGCAGTATAAAACAAGGTTTTCATATGTCCAGCATCACAGATCTGGGCACCAAACTGTGCATGCAAGAAAACAGGTTAATTTAAAAAAAAAAAAACAACAGGGAAACGTTCTCAACAGTGCCCTGCTGTTCACTACCAATACAAGTCCTCTCATCTCTGCCCACATTTGGACTAATAACAACCGCTGATAAACTATTGGTGGATCTAGAATTTAAAAAATAAGGAGAAGAGGAAGGGGGGTGGGAATAAGGAGAGCAGATTTTAAGTATTATTAGTAATCCAATTATTCACAAATTTTGCCCCACAGTTGCAGCAGAATTTAAAATTTTCATATTAAAATTTATAACAATGCACTTGGAGATTAGAAACAAGGAACTGGTGTTGTGAGATGTGACTTGGAAAGCCCTATCAGAAAGCTGTTTATAATGGTACCAACAGCTAGGAGGTGGCATGAAGAATGAAGGAATCTCCATCTCTTGGACCACAACCAGGCACAACATCATTTCCTGCACATCACAGGTTCTTTGTGTTTTAAACACAGTAAGAGAAGGCTACAGTGAGAGGAAAAGCCATGGCCAATCTACCTGCCCATCAGTCTGAGCAGGTGATCCTGGAAGGAGCAATAATCCCCCAAAGATGGGACATCTCGAACATTTTCCTTGCACAAACAGGTCCTCTGACCTCTAACCGAGCCTTTAGCCAGGCAGCTTTGCACCATAACCCAAACACAATGCTGTCTTTTCAAAAGATTTTGAAGGCCAGACCTCCAGTGTGGCTTCCTACACATCCTTCTTCTCAAACCCCCCTGGTACTGCCTGCTCAACTGTGGTTTGCCATGTCTAACAGATGTAAACTTTGCTGTTCACCTGCACCTGCAAAGCTACAGCCGAATACATCCAGAATGCAGTTGCACACTTAAGAGAAATGACCTTGCCCTCCCTTCACAGGGCCTCACCACTTATTTTTGCTACAGAGTTATGTGCTACAGAATTACATTGTCATCTTTAGTGCCCACTACTGTGAACATAAAGGACTCAGAGTATGCTCACAGATCTTACAATGCGTCCTCTGTGATAAACGTAGTTGCTTGAGGCGGTTTTGATCACCTTTCAGGTTAAGCCCTGCAATTGTGTATGTGCTGTGTATCCCAGATTTACATATACTTTAAATGAGAAAGAGCCAGTCATGACCTTTCTCATTTACAGGATGGAGAGACAGCATTCAGGGACACTTGCAGGTAATGCTGGGGTTAAAGGTAGGCAAAACTTGGCAGTTTTGGTCAAGGGTGGGATCCATTTAGCTTTCCCTAGGGTTTTAGTTCTCCTGCAATCAAATCCATTAGCTTTCATGCCAAATGTTGCCTCCAGCTAAAACTTATACAAGAACACCACAACAGAGATTCAGAGGTTTAACTGCCACCCCCAAATGAAGCCATGCACCTCAACGTGCTACAAAAAAATCTAATTTCTGAATAGAAAGCAAAATGCAGAAGCCACTTTGTGTCTATCTTTCTGTTCTGGAAGGTGAAACTAAGAGTGTGGGGAGAACACTCTGTGATTCACAACAAAACACTGTAGCAGCAGGAAGACACTCCGCAGCCATAGGCTGCCTGCTCTGCCTCTCTTCACCTAAACAGGGAATGTTGGGCCACAAGAAACAGTGCAAAATGTGTCACCTGGTCACACAACTAAACATTTTGCAATTTTGAGTGTTGTTATAGCTGAACTCAAGGCAGGTGGCTCTGACTGATATGAAATATTCATAAACTGTGATTGATTCTCTTTCCCAGACTGAAATACTTTAGTGAAATTCAATTAATATTCAACCTGGTGAAAGCATTTCAAGCCCATATATAGATACTGTCAGCCTAACCTGACCTTTGCTGCCATGGGTAGGTCTTTGTAGGGCATCATCAGCCTGAATTATCCTACATTAGGAAGTTAGGATCTTCTAAAACATTGGTGTGGCTAAACATTTTGAATCAAGTTCCTTTTAAAAGCCACAGATGTGCACAGAGGTCCTCAGAAAGAGCAGCAGCAGAGGGGAGAGGAGGCTCAGGAGTGGCAGAAGAAGAGACAATGGCTATGGTTTGAGCCACCACTTTGAGCACTGCACATCAGTGCCCCAGAAGTCACATGCTTTAATGAACTCTTCTACCTAACTCTTAAAATTAAATCTAGATCCTACTGACATCAATAGGCATATTTTTCATTGTCTGCCTACATAGCCATTTTGCTTTGCTTGTAATAGGGAAAAGTTTCGTGGGTTTTTTTCTTTAAGCACAGTCTAGAGCTGCCTCAGTAAGAGAAGGGTAGATAGGGGCTGGTCACGGTTCTGGCCTCAGCTGGATGCTCATAGAGGAAGGCAATGGAGCTGAGAAAAAAATCGAGGACACAAAAGCACATTAAAATAGGAGGGAAATGGCAGCCTGCTGTCTCCTGCCTTCCATGCCCCTTCTCAGTGCCCTTCTGACACGGGATGGCCATTTTCCTTCTAGTTATGTGCTCTGGGTCTCCATCTAAAAAAAAAATAATTTCCTTGTAAACTATTTTTATATTTAAACAACCCTAATAAAATATAAGTTACTGTAAATATTTGCACTAAATCAAATGTAAGCAGCTCAGTGCTTCAGAAGGTGCCTTCTAGGTTTTTTTGTTTAAAATTATCTACAGAAATGCCACATCTGGAGATTCTGGCAGTTTGTTTTCTGATACCAACATGGCTCCCAAGTCTTTCAAGATTCAATGAGAATTCTGAGTAATCCTTAAGCACATTTCACAATGCCAGCCTGTGCAGTAATTGCAGTGACTGTAATTGTCAGTAACAAGAATAAGCAGTCATAGCACATTCATAAAATAACATCCCTTGCAGCAAAGCCAAAATCAGGGAAAGGCTTCCTGGTTGGGTTTATTGCTGGGGTTACGAGCGTGTAGCCTGGCACGAGCATTTCTCAGATGGCAGTGTGGCCTGGCGCAAGGGTGGGGGACGCACCACCACACATGCAAAATTAAAACCCAGACTAGTCTTTGAGCAGGAAAATGAGATTTTTCTTCACAGATCTTATTTTCTCACAGATAGGAATCCCACACCTGGGAATTTTCTAGCATCAGAGACGCCATCAGCTACTATTATTACTATCATTAATAAAAACTAATTATATAGAAATAGCCATCAGACTTGTAGACTAGAAAAAAACCCTAGAACATCAGGTGTTAAAAAGACAAATTCTGATTTATAAAGGTTTTTTTAAGCAGATGCAGAAAATCTTTGTAATGACTAATATCTCTATTTTCTAAAAATCTGCAATTCCTAGGAATTGTAAGAAGTTGTTTTGTCTTTTTTCCTCATTCTACTTCGACTCTTCCTACAGCAGCACCAGTCACAGCATATTATTCCTAAAACTACAGGGAAACAAGCAAACCAGCAATGTTACTTTGAGGACTGCTTTGAAAGAACAGAGAAATCAAAGACAATTAAAAAAAATATTCCTCAGTCAATCACCAGGTGTAAATTTCCTAATATAGGGTTGTGACTCCTAAAATATGGAGCTGGACAGTCTGACTTTAGCCTGATTTTCTGATTTATCAAGCCAGATTTGCTTTGTTTTGTTTGCAAATGACTATACAGGCTCAGGCTCAACACCCAGCCAGGGGATGTTCTGACACACCATTCTTAAGCAAAAGTGCACCTAAGTTTTAGGGAAAAAAAGTTCAGTTCGACCTTGTGTAAACGCATGGCAACTCATCTCAGGAGAGTTGATCCTTTGCCTTCCATAATGTGCCCACAGAATACTTCCCCATGATTTCCTCACTTAATTAGGACATAGAGGTTTCTAAATTTATTCTAGTTGCTTTCTCATTTCTAAAGCTAACTGCTGCAGGTAGTGATTAGTAAGCTTCTATGGTGTAAAATTTTTAATTTATGTTTCATCTCTGCTGATATACAGCTTTTAAAACTCACATAGGTCAGCTTAATCCTCATCTACATTCCAAAGATGCTTGGTTTATATCAGATACAATTAGAAAAATGACTCATTCAATGTAACAGCTGAAGACCCTCAGGGGCAGGGTACCTTCTCATCAATTTAATCTAGTTACTAAATTGTGATATACTGATATTGAAAGATGAAAGCAAAAGTATAAGTGTGCACACAAGATTTTAAGCCTGTTTAACTAAACCATTTAAAGTAACCTATTTTCAACTAGTGCTACGTTCATATTCCATCAATGTCTTTGCTTATTGTGACCACAGGGTGTCCGATACAAAAATCCTGAAAGACAAATATGGGATTAGGTTATGGTTGGCAACTCTTGACTTTGCCTGAACAACAGAGGTCAAAAGGGCGTTTTTATGAAAAGGTTTGCTAATAAAAACACATCTCATTTCTCCTGTGAGTTTGCCTAATTTCACATTCCAGTGACCTTTGGTCATTATTAATATTAGTTTGCTAATCTAAAGGACCCACCACAAAGATTTTGCTCCATATGCAGCTATGAGGACTTCATGATCAGGTAAGTGTTCAGTTGCTCCATTAAACTGAACAGCTTGAGGCCCTGCAGTCCTTTCTATGGTTTCACTGGGCTTAAATCTCCCCAGTTCTAGAACATGTTGATGAACCGTGGACACCAGAACCTGATCCTGTATCTCAGTGCTAAAACGACCAGACTCACAATACTTCCTGCTTGAATGTCCAAGCACCAACACAGAGATGTGGTTGATACCGATGGGCACAATCACAATCTCCTGTAAGCCTTGCATTCTTGCATCAGGGATCTTTACTCCCTGTTCAGGACCAAGATCAGGACTGAGAGGCTTGAGTTTACTCACTTTCCCTATTCACTGGAAAGTTTTTCTGTGGCTTACTCTGTGATTTACTAGGTGCTGAAAGCAAACACAAATGGTTTTAAAAAGTAACCATTTTATGGTCTTTTAAGAGTTTGGGACATTTTTAGTTCTAAAAATGACTAAATTCCTACTCTGATATTTGATGTCCGCCACTGTTACTATTGCAAAAAGAGTTTCATTAGTATCTTGTGATACAACTCCATCACATTTTTTTCCCAAATGCAACTGGACATATTTAGTGTATGTTTCTGCCCTTTTGCATTATTATTAGGTCTACTTGTGTAGCAAAATTATTAAGATTCTATTTACTTGTTCTTACCATCCTTCAATCTTTTGGTTAAAGATTTTGCTGGTTACTACTTTCTTTTCTTTGTGTTTCTATAATTCTTTCAGTTTCATTTTTGATATGTCAGCTTAGAGCTTTCTGGATTTCATTCATGTTTTATGTTATTTGTCTTAAATTGCCTTCCATTCTCTCCTATGTCAGCTGATCTTTTCAGCTGATGCAGAGATCTGTCGTTCTGTCTAGGCTGTGGGATAGTGTCTTTTGTGAATCTACTGCAATGTTCTCAGTCTCCAGATTCATGTCCAACAGGGAGGCCAGCTTCATGCACGCTTCTTCTCTTTAACTTGCAATGTATAAAATAATACACACTTTACCCTTTCAACAAGTGATATTTTTGACTGAACCCTACCGCACTTGTAACAGATTCATTAGCGGTTTGATAATTAGAGCACAGAGTATATTCTCATACATTTAGCTTTCCAATTACAATATATAAATTATTTCATTGTAGTCTGAGGGTAAAATACTACTGCTTTTTATTCTTTTTTCATTTAAATTTTGGTATGCACTATATAAGACAGTGGGTAGAGTCAATGTGTTATGAAACCACTTGCTTCAGTAAATTAACATTCTATTTAAGTTAATACTACTTTATTAGTGATAAATACGTCTCATGCCCATAAAACACTACTTGGCATAAAATGATGCAAAAGCTACTACAAGCTATAGATGATGGTGGGAATGCATGCACTACACACACCCTTTTCAATGGCTTCATTAACACATTCAGAAAAAGAACTGTAAATTGCACGTGAAGCCAAAAACAGACATCAAAATGCAGCAAAAGAAGAGGGGCCCTTTGCACCTAGAGTAACTTGTATTGATTTATACAAGGTAGGAGTCCCAAGATATTTGTATATGCTGGAACAGCTCTTAAAAATGAGAATTATAGAATTAATTTACAAAATACCTAAAGTATGGTCCTTCAGTGTTTTTATTCACATCTTCTACCCACTTAGCTACATTATATTCTCTTTTGAACCATGGGTTTAAATACCTGCGGAAAGCAATGGAAGGAACAGAGAAAGCAGAAGAACAAGAATAGAAAATCTGAGAACACACAGCACAAGCTTAGCAAGGATGTCTTCATCCCCAAAATGCAAGTGAATATGGCAAATAAATCAGAATGAATGTTGGGTGAGGACTAGGCAACGTGTACAACTGCATGAGAAAATCTGACCTACAACAAGACTCATATGTTTGATTAATCTGGAAACTCTTTGGGATACACCATTTATTTAAGGGTAAAATTCACTCCTATGCAGAAGGCCAGCATTAAGCTCATGGTTTAACTCTCCTCATGATCTCAGAATAAGGATGAGGGGGCATTTTGGCTCCAATCATGCAGTTTGCTTGTTAAAGACACACTTTTGCACTCATCTAAAATAAATTGCAAGATAATTGCTAAATGAGCACAGAATCTTCGGCTTGACCCTTTCTACAGGAATGAATTTCAGCCTCAGTTTGTTAAAAGGCTTGAATTGTTTGCCACTACAGTGACAATTTTTACACTTATATGCAAATAGCCCTCTGATTTTTCAATGTTCATTTAATTTGGTAGGATCACAAGAAGCTTTAATGGAGGTGGGCTGCAGAGTTATCTCACATTTTACAGAAGCAATCTTGATACCAAAACCACACTTTATAAGAAAAAAAGGCTGAGCTGCATACTCAAATTAGGTACACAAAAATTACGAAATAAAGATGTTTAATTATCTGACAGTAAATTACTAGGGAAGAAGAACATTTTTTTATAATAAATTTTCTCCAGTAACAAGATTAGCAAATTCCTCCCGCTCTTGTCATGTTGAGAAAAAAGGGCGATGCAGAAACAGAAGTCTGCTTGGTCCAATTTATTCTTCTTATATACGAATGGCAACAGTTAAATGATTATTTGTGATCACCATCTTTATATAACAGAGACTAGTACAGTGAAATAGGAAACAAATTAAAACCAAAGAAAAAGGGAAAGAAAATTCCTCTTTAAGTTATTGTTGATATTTCTGGTCCAGTTCTTGCCACCCTTATTTGTTAGATTTACTCCAATGACCTCACATACGGGAACAGGCCTCACAAGGGATTGCTCAGATGAATAAAATCAGGCCAAATCATGTCTTTCAACCCCCACCATATTTCAAACCATGTTGACAACAAAAGCAGCAGCACTTTTTCAACTTCTTTTGCTCCTTTTTTGCTCTGGAACATCTCCTCCCCGCCCTGCGCAAGCACAGCCACAGCTCTCAGAAAGTACTCGCCCTCAGCCACAAGTGCTTCTAAGTAGCTTCCTCAGCTCGCTTATTTATCAGGAATCGGGAGTGCTTTATGCTTTCCAGCTTGGGATCTTAAGAGAAAGGAAATGTCAAAAGTGGTAGCGCAGCAAAACAGATGAGCCACAATCAAAGCAACAGGCCGATGCCAGCATCGCCAAGAACTAATGAACTTCTGCTTTGACTTTAATTGCACATTTTCTTGTACTTGCTGCAATACTTTTGACTTCAAGTTTTTCATTTGAAAGGGTCTTTTGGTAACCATGAAACACTCCCAATCTGGCTTCCTGTATTAGAAAACAAAGTGTAACGTGGTATCAAAGCATGCAATTGTTGCACAACCGTGTTGCAGGGTTTCCTGGGTCTGCGTGTATTACAGACCACCATTCACCACCTCAATCCATCTGTTACAGAAAGGTTAAACTCGAGTTACTGCAGACCACTACATGATACCATTAGAAAGCTCTCAGGCTGATCTTTCCAGCCACATGTTCATTAGCAATGGACAGAATCTGCATTTCCTTTCAGTGAGAAATTCTGCTTTAAAACAAGGTGCCCTTACACATAAGCCTACAGCTAGACGGACAGCTCAGTTTGGCTTGTAGCGCAACATGCAACAAGGCAAAAGACCTGGGCTCAAGAGTACTCGTACTCCTCAGGCCGGTGAGGAGGAAGGTTAGCTAGCGCTGCATCAGCAGGAGCACCTCCAAGCAGTCACAGTGTTTTGCCACAGTGAAACTATTGTATACTGAGGGAAGGGACTTTTCACGGCATAAAATGGCAGCCCAGAATGCAGGGGTGGGTGAGACTGACCTGTGATCCAGACTCCCTGTTTGGGGGGGGTCAGAACCCCCTGAGCTTATGCCTTGGGCAGGGGTTTGGTGGGCGAGAGAAAGCCCAGGCTCAGATGCATGGGTTACCCGGCTGCAAAAAGACAATATATAATAGAAAGTCTAAACCAAAGATGTTTGTATCAGTTATCACAACGAGGAAGACAAATGCTTATAGGAAAAGCCGTGCAAATTAACAAAGGTCTGAATCGCTATCTGTTCCCTGGAACCTGTTTTAACACAAGCTCCCAATTAAACTATCAACTTATTCAGAAAACTCTCATTATAATTCCTGAACAATTCTAATTGATTTTAGTAGAGAACTCTTTTATCAGGCTGTTTCATCAACCATGTTTCCGAAAAAGTATTTGGCCTGTTGGCATTCCTTCCACATGTAATGAACCATCTGCCTTTAGTAAAGAACATTAATTTTGTTTTAAAACATCTAGAAACAATTAAAAATGCCCCAAAATACTTTCAGTAGTCTCCACTGAGCTCTACACTTAGCATAAGCCTTGTTCATGTACGTTAGTCCAAGGGTGACGCAAACTTGTGAGCTGTACCTTTTTCAGGAGCTGCCCAAAATGCTTGCAAACCTCCCACCAGTGCTGCTTGTGAGGGCTGCAGACCTCAAATCCTTCTCAGTGTTTAAGAAATTTTGCTTCTGTGATTAATGACACATGTCTCTTTAATGCTTGGCTGTATAAAAAAAAAACTCTGTGCATAATATGTGCAGTTATTGCAGACTTATGCATACACCAAATATTTTTGCAGGCAACTGCACTAGTGGGCACCTGCTAAAAAAAAGAAACTGAATTCTGCACAACGTATGGCACAAATGAATCCAATTTTCTAGTGGTTAACTACACTCTACTAATAACAGGAGACCAAGACTGTTATCCCTTTTCTTCCATTCAGCAAGTATGCTTCATTGGACTTCTAGGGGCCCCACAGGTGGACTTTCCAAGTACTACTTCAGAACAGATTTCAGTATTATTCTATATTTCCCAGAGAAGGTAGGAAGGTACATATGTCTGGGAAAAGCCTCCATGTATTCTGAGGCATCCTCAAAGCAGCTGGCATTGCTTTTTTTTTCCTTAAATGAGTAAATGCTGGCCACAGTTATATCATTTTCAGTCAATTTTCTCTGCTTGCACAGGAAGCTACCCCTCTAACCAGAGCCACCACGTGTCCTTGGCAACTCTCTCCATTTCCTACTGAACTGGCACAGCATGTGGATCATTCAGTGGGAGTTCTCTCTCTGAGTGGTGACAGGTCTGCCAAGGAGACTCGGACAAGCCATGTGAGTGCAGTCCAGGATAGACTCCATCAGGAGAAAGAGTGTTTTCCTGCCTGGCAGGTCTCTCCCAGGAACACACACACTGTACTTCATCCCCAACAGGCTGCTGCATGGCCATTGGGAAGTACAAGCCTCCTCTCTCTAGCAAAAGGGCTGCTGCTGGGCTGAGGGACCATAGCAAGCATCAAGAAGGAAAGCAGAGAATTAGGTGGGAAATCAAGGGCACCTTTAAAAGAGAAAAAAATTTACATGGCAAAATATTTCCAACTCACAATATCTCTGTCTGCCCACTTATTTAGTGCTCCAAAGTTCTCAGAGCATATCTCATTTGTGTTCTTGGCAGTTTGGTCAGACTAATTTTCGTTTTATCAAACTGTCTCATGCAAGGAGAAAAGAAAACAAGCAAAATAATATTTCAGAAAGAGTTTATCAGCACAAAGACCAAGAGCACAGGGACTCTTGATAGATAAACTCCTCCAAGGGCTAAAATTTCTGGTTCCATGTTGCCATTTTGACCATGCAATGTTAAAATTGTAATATGCATCAAAGTATTATTTCTGTATCTTGTAACACAGGGTCTTCTCTATGAACCTTTCTGAACCTACTCACCTCAAGACAGTGCACTGCAGGTGAAAGAAAAGTTTCAGAACAAACTCAAGCTCCTCAAACCAGAGAAAGTGGGGCCCAGAGAGAAGTTAGCATTATTAGTTTCCAGCAGGGTTGGTATCAAGCCCATTTGCCCATAGAGGTGCAAAGTTAGTACTCAAGACATGGGGGAGGGCAGTGTCATTGCCAACATGGTCAAATAAGGGGCCACTCCTATGTGGTGTAAGTGCCGTAAGAGCAGGCCAGGACTTGCCAAGCCCAGAGATTATGCTTCCAGTCATTCACCATTCATTCACAAAAGGGGCCTGAACCAGCAGGCTTAAGTACATTAGAAAGGTTCTTTCCTTTTGGGGAGCACTGCACACATGGGCTCTTCAGTTAATGTAACCAATAAATCAATAAGCAAGCAGCTCTAAGCCATACTGGAAAAGCTTGGGGGTCAGTCGCTTGGTAAGGACTTTAATTACCCACTTATTGCAGGGCTTGCTCCAGACTGGCTGTTTCAGGCTTATAAGGACAAACTTCAAGCTACTCTCAAAGAAGACAGATGCCTCTCCTAAAACCTCCAGGAAGGTGCACAGAGATACACATCTCTAACTTTGCAATGGCCCAACCCAAGGTGAAGAAAAGGGTAGGAAATAGGTTATCAGAAACTCAGTATTGAACCAGGATACACTCAGCAATGGCAGTTTACTGTAGACAAAAGCCTGCAGTGATGGTGCAGGCTGCCACCATCACTGGGAATTGCTATAGGAACGACTGTGAGGAAGCCTACATAAAAAAGAAAATTCATAGTTAATTTTTAAAGAATAAATAAAAAGATGTCAAAATACATTAGCCAAACCATTTACCAGATTAGCAGTCAGCAATCAGAATGGGCCACAGAGCAAAAATGCAACTGTCTACTTTTCAGTACTCTTAATCTCCATCTACAAAACACAAATATGAAAACTGTACTTTTTGGCTTTGCTTTTGTAAGTTCAGACTTACTCAGTTGAATTAGACCGTGGCCTAAATCTTTTGCCTCTGACTTTCTTTCTGTTTCCTCCTATATTACCTGAAAGAAATCAAAGGATAAAGACAGACAGTAAAACAACTTGAAACTCACCTGCATCCCATGCCAAACTGTATATTCTTTCTGCATCCATAGCAAAAGAGTTGTTACCTCAATAGCTTTAACCATTTAAATGTCACAGGTCAGTCCCTCTTGATTTACCTCAGACTCTTAGGTGAGCTTTCTCTACTTTTTGCCGCAACTGTGCAGAGCAAAAAACTCCTTAATTTCAACTTTCATTTGAAAAAAATCACTACACTTCAAGAAAAACACTAAACACTGCCTGATAAAATCACAGAAGCTGGCAAGAGTGAATAGACTTCCTTCTCTTCTTCATGTTAGCTCATACTGGAGGAGTGGGAGAAATTAAATGTCATTTCTATGTGACAAAGCACTGTGCAAAAAAAGGCACTTGTGTAGGGTGCTGTTAAATCTTAAGTCCAGGTTAATAACAATCAGCACAATCTTAAGGAGTCATGCTGCTGTCGTAAGATCAGCTAAACTTCCAGCAGAGCAGCAATGGTCCATAGGCTGGTTTCCACTGTGGCCAGCACAGTGGTTCACACTTACCTTGCCAAGAATTACTCCTAGGCCTCCCATTTTCACAAATGTCTGAAATATGTTTTGTGTCTGGGATCCTTTCACTCCAGGAATGAGATAATCCATTTGACCTGGAATAGGAGGGCTCAGATGCGGTTATTGTTAAGGGTATTGTCTCACATCATGTTAACTCAGTGGTTCAGTCACATTCCCGAGGCTAGTGACATAACACAGCCTAAGGTCTGTCTGCACTAGCAGAGCCTCCAGGATTTCTGATTAAACCCTGCAGTTACACTTTGCAGCTGTCTCTGCAGTGGTCCGGTGTGCCCACGTTCAAGAGTCAGGCTTCAGCAGTGCTTTCTCACTTGTTGTCTGTGGAATGCACAAACACCAGCACGCACCAAATTTCCTTTGGATTTGCAGTTCTGCCCCAGCTCCTAGATGGAAAATGCTCTTCCAACTGTGCTCACCTCAAGGTTTTTTTATCTTGCAGTCAAGCACATCCCACCTGCAGGCTGCCCACTCCCTCCTTGTCCTGCTGCAGGAAAGCCTGGACAGCTTACCTCACCCCACTGCTATCAGTCTCAGGGGCTCAGGAGTCCGTGATAAGTATCTTCCCACCCAGAGCTGGTAGTGCCAGGGGAGAGGTAACTCTGCCTCATTTTTGATAATTTTGAATTTTTATATTTTATTAGTCAATTGCTGCAGTGCTAATGCTAAACTCAAAGCCAAAAATAGTCTTTATATCGAGGTGCTTGGTGCAAACTGAAGTTTTTCTTTCCTCTCGTATTCCCTCTAAGAGCCAGAGATGTGTGTTGCTGATGTCCAACCTGTGTGGTTTTGCAACAGGCTCCCTCTTGTTGAACTAGAGCTGCTGCTCAGCTGTTTGCCATGAGATCTACAATTATTTCCAAAAGAGAAGAGGAAGTTGAAAAATTCATAATAGATGGCTTACTTACTACAAAGAAGTTTTGCTTAAAGGACCTCTTTCTGCAGTTTTTAAGTCTGGATACTCTTGCATTTTTCAGTCTCTGTTTTCCTTGGAGGGCAGGCATCTGAGAGATGCTCTTCAGTTTCCAAAAAACCAGGCTAATCACAGCCACAGTGAAGTACACTCAGGGTTTCATTAATTGAAACTTAATTATAGCATGAAAGGTCTGAGAACCGACAGATCCACTGACAGATTTTTAAACATTTTCTCCCCCTCACAGTCTATTTTCAGGTTCAGGAATATCTTGCTATATACTGGTTTTGGTGTTTGCTATTTCATAACAGCAAGAGTTATCATAAAGTTATGTCTTAATCCTTGAAAACCCTCTGAATCCAAATAATATTTCAAAGTGCTTTCCAGCATGGAGAAGTCCAGGCACCCAACGGCCCAGCTACTCTAACATCTCCCAGGAGATGCCATCCATACCAGCACACAGAGCAAATCAAAACCAGCTCAGAAGGTAGGAAATAGCACTCTGGGCATTAAAATGGAAGGACTATGTCAGCTGTATAACAGTGTTAATGGAATATTTGTCAGACTTACTTTTCCAGACTTGACAGTGGCACAACATACCTGAACTGGCGGTGGGGAACAACAAAACTCTCTAGTACAGACAGACCTTAGAATCCATTAGCTTTTTGGAACAAATAATAAACAGAGACATATGAAATAAATGAAGTATGAAAAGAAACACAGATACTGAATGAAAGAAGAAACACATTAAATTACATTCATTTAAAAAGAAATTTTTTCTTAACTGGTATTTGAACCTGATACACGAAGCTAAATTTGCTTTCCCAAGACTTTTTGCAAAATTTCATCCAAATGAAAAAAAATTCTCCAACACAAACACTGAATCATTTAAGATTAATGTTTGCTTCCTGAAAAAAACAATAATGTATCCACCCACACATCTAAAAAAACGAATTTAAAAATTAGAAATCATTAATTAATCACTACTAAAGTTTTCCTAATAACATATTCATTAGAACAAATTGAATGAAGTTGCAATAGGATCAAGCAGCTACGCCAAAATAGCAAATGTGTCCCTTCCATACATTTCTCTTTACTTCCATTGAAATAACAGTATAGAAAACGGCTTCATCAACTGCACAGTTATAGACTGCTTAGTGAGACAAGAATTGAGAATTACAGTTTTCCTATGAAGTAGTTCAGGACGGTCAATCCCTCCTAGGACACAGTGCTTCTCACAAATTGCTTTACAGTGCTAGCTGGAGATTTTCATAATTAAAGGATCTCTAACTGCAGAGGGATGGTAAGCACCATGACCTTAGCAAATACCAATGACTCTCAATGCTTTTCAATGAATTTTCCATTTTAAAATGTTGGGGGTTTTAATCAACTGGAACAATAACAGACTTAGTGAATCGGATCAAGGACAAAATCTAATTCTCTCATGATAGCAAACTGAAAACTACAGAAAGTCTTTGTAGAATTATTTTCTAAGATAATGCTTGGTGACCATTTAGTATACTAGTCTAGTAAGTGGAATAAAATGCAAGCACTATCATCTTTAGTAAGAGACAGCAGAAGTCTAGGTCAACACAGTGAATTAATGACACTGACAAATAAAGATATAAAAATAACGTTTATATTTAACATTTTATGTTTATAACCATTACTGAAGCAAGACAGTGTTCCTTTCCTTTGATTACATGACCATGATTTAAAAAGTTGTGGATTTTTTATTTAATTTTTTTTCAGCCAGCAATTATTTTTACAGTCTACTTGAAAACAATTCTCAAGCAGGAAGACGATGAAAATTTGATTAAACCAAAGTTTGTTTACAATGCAAAATGTTTTTATTCTAGCCTAATCATAATAATTAGTAGTTCAGGATATAGGAGAAAAATCAGTAATCAAAGCAAAAAGGATGCTATTTCAAACATTCCCCAAAGAAAGAAGAAAGAATCAAACCTGCTGCAAAACAATGAAATGTTCTGACTAATGGAATAATGGGTGATGGAACAGGTAGAAATCTGAAAATGCGACAGAAAAGCAGACCTCTTCTTAGAACTAGATGCAGAGTTTGTGCTGACTCCAGGAGGCATGTCGCTATAAAAAGAGTCGGCCTCTCCCGGCTTTTTTACATAATCTCCCTGGGGTATTTGTCTAAAGTATAATAAACATTGTAGAGTCAGAAAACATGACAGGAACTAGCACGCACACAAACATGCACGAACATTAGTTTAAAAGAAAGAGGTAAGGATAGCGAGGAAACCCGTTAATCACAAACAATAAGGCTACTAATACATAATTCAACCATCTGAGAGAAAACTCCCACACGCTTCCGTTAAGTGGTTATGTGGTTTTGGTAAGCGAAAACAAGGAGAATTTCACAGGTAAACCCTGATCACAACTTTCAAAGTGAACAGTTTGTGTTTATTGAGACACTGGATAACCAGTTCAGACATTTCAAATGGCTCATCACGCCGGTCGCAAAAAACACCCCCAGGTGCAGCACCAGTACTGAGTCTGAGCTGAATACATGCCTGCATCAAAAAGGAATTCAGGAAAAGTGAATGCTTTTTTCCTTCTGAGATAGATGCTTTCCATTTAACTTTTGTGATGATTATTGAATTCAAGAATAGCAACCTGTTGAGTTGTTTAAACCTCAGGAGGATAAAAATCTCCAGTTTTTTTAACTGATTTCTTGTGCAGGGGAACTAACACCAGTGTCAGAGATTCTCACCTACTCCTGATTACCACAGTAGACTCAATCTGCCAAGACACACAAAAATAATGTCACACATATCTGATAATAGGCTATTCTTTTCCAGTACAAGAGGCTCCATTATGGTGCATAAAACTATCTATGCATTAGAAAGTTCTAATCAAGTTATACAACGTTTTTGTAGATGGTGAATTCATCACCAGCCGAAAAAACCTGCCATACAAATATTCCAGTTATAGTTCCATCAGGTTGAAAAATCCTCCCAAGTACAAGTAGCTACTCTGAAAGTTGGCTATTTCATAGCATCATCAACTTAAGCATCTATTCAGACTGTGTCCAACTACAGATCTGAACTGGGATCTCTTCGTGGAATATCTGCATTTCTAATGCTCCTAAAATATTTAAAGTATATAACTACATGGCACATAAATCATTAGTATAATGCAGTACTTCCACACTCCATCTTCTAACACCTTTCAAGCTTCATTTCTCATCCCATTCTTCAGCTAATACACGCGTGTGTTCAGAGTCAACTCAGTGTGGGCAGCTCTGCTCCCCAGGGTTCCTCTAGCAAACTGCTCTCTTGCTACTCCATCAGAAATAACTTCTCCCATGTAGCTGTGCCCTTTACAGCCACACTATCCCAGCTGGCAGAATCCTTGCTAATTGGCTCTTCTTGCTACTTTCAGTTTACTTGCTTCAGTTGCTTAGTGCTACCACGTATCATCCCTTATGCAATGCTCAAAAATATAATAATAGCTTGTTTTCATCTTCATTTAAGGAGTAATCATAAACAATTTTTTTTAAAAAAAGGGACAGCCTGGACAATCTGGTGGATGTCTTTTTTTTCCATTTATGGAGCACTCCTTGCACTTATCCAAAATTCCAAAATTATTCTATTTAGAAGTCAGCCTAGAGAACTTCATTTTCAGCATGAAGGAGATTTAGTTACTAAATATCTCCGTCATCTTTAAAGTGACAGAGCCCTCCATTACCTTCAGAAGCCTCAGTTTATACCAGTTTCCACTCTGCCCATTCCCACAGACACAGCTGCAGACTGACTGCATACTCACAACTCTCTGGCCATACACTAATTTCTGGAGATATGGATATCTGAAAAAGTTAAGTTCTCTAATATTCCAAGGTAAACATGCATGGGGTGGTCTCTTCCTCTGTTCTGTCGTCAGCCAAAACTGAAACACCCACAGTAGTGACGTGATGGCCATGTTAGTCTGCACTAAGAGATATATCACACACTGCTAAGCAGCACCAAACCCTTAAATTCTGCCATCCTAGTGCCGGGTGGCATTTCCTACCCACCAACGTCTGCATAAGGCTTGATTTCAATAGCTTTGCCCTTTTCCTGTTACTGTACCTTTCACCAATCTGACCTTGTAGCACACAACCAGCACTTGGCAGTGCTTTTCTGCTTTCACGAGTATTTTGAGTCTAGCAGAGAAAGTGCTACACAAGGAGAAATGGAGAGCAAGCACAACGGGTAGCAGCAACAAATAAAGCAGCAGCTTGGACCAGGAGGCAATGGTACAGGCAGAAAACAGGGGAATTTGAGAAACCCTCTTATCTTTGGTGGACTGGGAGAGGAAGGAGCCAACTCCTTCCCAGAAGACCCATCTGCCAGGCAGATGGCTGATCAAAGGGAGGTGGTCTTCCAGGGGCCAAACACAAGTCACTTGGAACAGTTTGGGTTTTGGCACAAGCTTGAAATGATGAAAGCTCAGCCCTGTGCTGAGGACAGTACCATGCTTTAGCTACAACATCAACCGAACAGGGTGATGGGAAAGAATGGGCTCTTCATTCACACAGCAAGTTAACTACATTGTATTTTTAACTGCAGAGAAGCTCCAGTAATGAATTTGTCTCAAAAGGCTCCTGAACATCATGCTAATATTAATTATTTAATTCTTAGCCTCCCAAGAACACTTTCATCTCTAATAGCCAATTTTCAGTCTCTTATTAGAAATATTCTCCTGTTTTACTAAATAAAATAGTCTATTGCAGAAGTAAACATTATTTTTGCTACTGAGTCCAGTGAAATCAGGATTTCAAGCAATTTATTAATAGAATACCACTTTCATATATTCAAGGAAATATTATTTAAAATATGATAATTCATCACTATATTTTCTTTATAGCATGTAAATGAACAAGAAAAAAGCTATTTTCAGAGCTTTCTAAGATACATTCCATTACTTTTATCACATACCTCTGTCTTCTGTAGTTTCTTTCCATACAAAGAGAAGAGAAAGAAGGAAGAATGAGTTATTAGTATGCAGGTCAGTAAGATAAAAAAATGTAAAAAGAAGAGCAATGTATACAGAATGAAATTTTAGTTCAAAATATTTCTACAAAAACACTTCACAAATAAACATACTTACAAACCTACTAAATCAGAATAACTTAGAAAAATCATGATGATGGCCAAAGTCAGTGCTGAGTTGGAGGTACAGTTCATGATGGATTTAAGTCTATTTATTGTGAAGCTGCTAGTGAAAGGTGTACTCTTGCCCTCCACCTCCAATACTAATCTCATTGGCTAGATGTGATCTCAAAACGAGCCCTTCACTTTTGGACTTTTACAGAAAAGAGAAGTCCAGATTTTCAAATGCTGTCAAAAACTGAGAGTGATATACAAAGACAGTATAACCTACCTTTCTACAATCCTAATCTTCATGCTTTTTTCCAAATGCTTGTTTCCTTACATATTTCTGAGCTGCCCTCAGCCCTACCTCAGTCTAACAGATCAGCAGGGGATGTGACAGTTTGTTATGCCAAACCTCTGGGGCCATGTCCCAGCTGTAGCACTGTCTGCAGCTGAACCTGCCCTGCCCTCCAAGCACACCAAGGACCCAGGGAGGACGGACCTCAAGAGCCAGTCTCACCCAAACAGATGATAAAGTCAGTACCTTGAATCTTTTTTTATTACAAGCAAAGAACCATAAATCCCTCTATTTTTAGAAGAAATCCATAAAAGAAGGAAAAATGAAAAAGACCACTCAGGCTACTGTTATCAATTTGGCCTCTCAGTGAGCACTGACAGTTCTACACCAGGCAAGAACTTTCACCTTATTTGGAAATTACAGATTTTTCTGACCAAAAAATGTGCCTGAATTAATTTCAGCTTAAGCTGACTAAATTCATGGTTGGGCTTCGCGAACGAAGATTTGGGAAGGCTCTATCCACATTTGTTACAGGCACGTTGGTGACTTATGAGGCCAATATGAGATAGACATATCCGATTGCAAAAGGCACAGTAGAAAGACTCTTTAGATGGTGTATTCTGCAGAACACGATTCTTTCTGCATTGCCTTTTCTCCTCGAGAGTGATCCTGTGTGTGTTCTCAAAGGAGACAGCAGCGTTATAGATGGTGTGTCTCCAGGCCTCCCGATTTGAGGCCAGAGTAGACCAGTTATGGTGATCAATATGGCCAAGGTTGAGATGTTGTTTCAGGGAGTCCTTGTATCTTTTCTTTGGGGCTCCTCTCTTGCGGCAGCCAGTGGCAAGTTCACCATAAAGCAAGATCTTAGGGAGGCGGTGGTCCTTCATCCTGGAGACGTGTCCTGCCCAACGCAGCTGTGTTCTCAGCACCATGGCCTCAATACTTGTGACTGCTGCTTGTTCTAGAACAGATGTGTTGGTTACATAATCTGACCAGTGGATGTTTAAGATTGTACGGAGGCAGCGTTGATGGAAGCGTTCTAGGAGACGCAGGTGGTGATGGTAGATGACCCATGATTCAGATCCATATAAGAGAGTAGACAGCACTATGGCTCTGTAAACACTGATCTTGGTAAACTGACTAAATTAAACATCTGTTTAAGGAAGCATATGGTTAAATGCTTTACTGACTAACTGAAGGTTAATCTTGTTAAATTTACTTCATTATGAGGAAAAATCGATAATTGTATCAGACTCTATTCTTTGTATTTCCTTTGTCAGATACAGTAAAATCATAATCTGATCGTTTACCAAAGAAAAAAAAATGAAAGAAAAAAAAAACAAACTGAAATGAGGAATGAATTTCAAACCTGGATCAAGTTCTCCAAAATCACATACAAATGTAAGAAGTGCTTGAAAAATGTTAGTACTATAAGAATGTCCCTGTAGAAATATTATTGAAGTAGGATTTTTTTAGATTGCTATTTTCATAACATAATTGGCTACCAGATGAAATACACATTTCTTAACTGTATTAAGAAGAACAAAACTTACTTACTTGTAACCCCAACCAGTTATTCCTAAAACGAGAGCCAACACTAAAATGGTGCCAGCAATAGCCCCTATTATTATATTTGTGCTAACCACACCTGGAAACACAAGAAAGAGGAAAAAATATAGTGTTTTAGGAGAAGAATACACAAAAACAGTAAATGCACCATCTTTCAAAAACCTGCTTGAACAACTTGCACTAGGCTGATTAATTGTAAGCAGTGATATAATCTTGAAGTATAGCATGGACATAAAAGATCACCTCTAAATCAAGCTTTGATCTCTGTGTCTAATCCCTTAACTGAACACTTGCTACATGGGACAGTCATGTCAGGTATGTCAATACAATGTTATCAATATCAAACTGCTGTGACTTACATCCTTACAAACTGCCTAGCAAATACATGCTTAAGTTGCAATAAAAGTGACTGTTTGGTTTTGTTCAAATCTCTTCTATAGTTGAGTAAATTAACCAAAAGAGATATTCTGAAAGATGGTAAACTGTCCCCCCTACAAGGATTTATAATGCCAAACATTTACATGCTCTTTTTTCCACAGTATAACCTTCTCTTGTAGGCAAACCTAAAGCCAAATAAAAACTTTCACCCCAAAAATGTAAAAGCCAAAAATTTGTGTGCCGACATGCTGCATACTGGCCATGTAAAAAGAAATTTACACTACAAATAAAAACCAATCATGTAAGTAACATGACCTTTCCCTCTGGATATGAAAAGCCCCATAACTTTTCTGCTTGTCCTGATCCACTAATACATGTAATAAGGCCCCTCAGATGTCTGGGACAGGCAAGGTAGAGCCGCACACACTGGTACCAGCTCCAAAAGGTGTACTGAGTGCTTGTGAGCAGCACTATGCACATCCAAACCCGGGTCTGAGGCCTCATTTACAGACACTGAGTGCTTCTGCTGTGGGAGGAAGGGAGAGGAACAAGGCTCCTAATGGTGGAGCATGTTGTATGCTAACTGAAAGAGTAGGAGACCTAGTTTTGCTTGATGAACATTCCTCAAATCCAAGATTTTTCAGTTATTGGTAAAAGTTATAACAACATACCTTTATTGATGGCATCTTTATCAAAAAAGAGATCATCTTTGATGCGAGAACTGCAGTCGTCTCCTCCCCAGAATCGGTCACAGACGCACTTTATTTCATTGCTACAAACCTGCAGCCAAAAGTGTAGCTCAGAAAAAAATCAGAAAATTAATCCATTCCCGTAATTAATACCTTAAGTATAGGTACAGTGATAAAGCACTGATTTTGACTGCCTGCAAAATGTTACAAAAAAATTTATGTATTAGATATAAATGTATTAAATGTACTATTACATTTTATATAAATAGAAGTAATATGTATAAAGTACATTAATATCTTTTAATGCATTTATAATTGCTTTCGGAGACTCTGATCTCAAGACCTTTTTTTACAAAATATGATGAAGTGGTTGATTTCAGATTAAAAAGGGAGTTTTAATATAGTATACAAGACAAAAGACATGAGAGAACAACGCCTTTAATCTCATCTCGGCCATAGGGACCTGGACACTGTTTCAAACTGTGAGGGACACGGGGACTTGCCAGGGCCGTAGCAAAGCCACAGGCTGTGCACCAAGCAGAGAAGCTGCCACTAGCCAAAAGCCAGTTCACTGCCCCCTCCTCCGAGCAAAGTAACTCTCAGCCAACAAAATCCAACAACCTTATGAACTATCTTGGCTGTTGACACAATAAGGAGGTAACTAAAAAGAACATCTGGAAAAACAGAGAACCAAGTTTCTCAATGCATAAAACCTTTGTATTTATTCTCCACTACATTGCCAGAAGAAATATCAATCAAGTTAGCAAAAGTGATAGCAAAAAAATTGATTGATAAAATTTTTGTAAAACTAGTACATACTTACATACATACACATTGCTTAAGATGCCTTGACAGGAATGCATTAGGTTTACTTAGGTACCTCCTTTCCTTTTCCTTTTGAAAAACTTCTCTGGCATAAAGACTTCTAGAGTCATACTGCTGCTGGCTTCCTGAAAAGTCTGTACAGGCTAGTACACTACACAGTGCCAGGTACTCAGCAAAAACAGTAAAAGGGATTAAAGAGTGCAAGAACATACACCATGTCCTGAGCAAATCTGGCTGTCTGTAGTGCCTGGGCAGGTGCTGAAGTTGAAGGCCTCAGTGGGGAGGCAGCGATGGTCCAGGCACACCATGTTGGGCCCACACGGTGTCCCGTTCTCTACGTATCCCAGGTCCGTCTCCTCATCAAGCTTCACATGGCCACCACTGCAAGACAACCAAGAGGATCTTGGAGACTTGTGCTGTGATTAGATGGGTCTACTTGAGAAACTGGGTTCTGGGCTGCTGCCTTTATTTCTATCTTCATTATACTACACACAGGACCAGTAAGACTAAGTATTGGCTTAGTTATCTCACTGGCTCTAAAGTGAAACAAAGGAAAACATAGTATATCTACATCAAACAAATGTAATGGTGAAAACAAAGACCATTTTTCTTGTGAAAGAGCTAGAGTTACATAAAACACTGAGTTTACTTGTTTAGGACTTTATTTCATCTTACCCTTCTATGAAACTATGAAAACATACCGTGTCTATAATTGGGATTCATTGAACATATAGCAACAAATTAAGCTGCCAGTTAGCTTTGGCAGTGCAGGCATATGTCAAAGTATTTTGGGTGCATTAAGTACTTTTACAAATACTAAAGAATGTAAAATCAAGGGGCCTGAGAAGAGCATTACATCTCTACAGGCAAAATTAACCACTGAACAGAGGGGACTGCAAAACAGTTGCACATCCCACAATGCAGTTAATTTCCTGAAGCTTAACAAAGGTTGAAATGGAATAATGGTTATGTGCTAACAGGAAAAAAAACTTCATGGAAATAGTTTTTCTGCACTAAGGAATGATAAAGCAGCTTTTCTATGCAAGATGGATATCCATTGTTCTGTTTTCAGGATTTCCAAATACCTGCAATTGTAGACTCTTCCAAAGTGCAAGATGGATGTTGTGATTTCACCATCAAGTTCTCCAAGTCTGGGCACACTGGATATATTGGAGCACAGAAGGTATCCACAAAGCACATCTCTGCATTGAAAGAATAAAAAGATACTTATAAAAAATAAAATTCAATTAAAATGAATAATAAAAAATACAAGGTTTTCTTCACTTTCTTGGTTACATATTTGTTATTCCTTTTTTCTCCCACTGACAATAACTCCCATAAATAATGTGGTTCCCAAGAAAATTTTTCTCCTTGAGCTTAGATTGGGAAAAATCTGTATTTTATAACGTATTATCAAAAATGCTCTGAGCAATAGCAAGAAGGAAGTTGTCAAGAACAAATCACATCAAACTGATTTAATAACCTATCAAAATACAGTAACTTGTCCACAGAGGAGCAACAGTATATACCGGTTTTAAATAAATTCTCATATGGCACATATGTAAGGGAACTGCAGACATGAAGCTTAATTCAACTGCTGAAGCAACTTTACTTCTCATGTGTGGAGACTTTTCCACTGACAGAATAGTAGGGTCTGGCATCTCACATAATACTGAATATTTTTTACTTATGAATTTGTAATGGAACAGAAGTAAGGTTATCAAATCTGCACAGAAAGGTGGAAAAAGACATCAGTTCACCAGTAGGCAGAACTAGAATTCAAATGGCACTGACAGAATGGAGAAATCTGAAAAAAACAGTTTTATAAGGACTGGTGAAAGGTTCAGAAATAGGCAGAAATAGTCAACTGCATAAATACAGAATGTGAAACAATGGTTTAGGCAACAACTTTCAGGAAAATATTTGAAAAGTTACAATACAATGAAAAGTGAATGCAACTTAGCAATGCAATGGCACAGCATAAAAAGATACCATACCAAGACGTGAGACCATAGGCTACTCTCCCCCTCACTGCTAAGCCTCACCAAGAGTACTTGGGCCACTTTTGGTCCAAGTTTTCCCAAGCTCAGATGGTGCTCTCTTGTCAGAGATCATCTCTTCTCGACACTCTGCTCCCTCCACGATTTCTTGCACAAAGGTCTGCAGAAGGTGGCCAGGAGAATTCTGATCCACACAGAGGCTTTTTGAGCCTCTTCATACCAGCTAAAGAAATGGATCAGGGATCAAAAAACTCATACCAGTTGTTTTCTAAATGGATCAACTTACTGTTTATTGCACTGTATCCAAGACTCTTTGTCTCTTCCACAGTTTCCTTTCTCAGTTCCTTCAATATTCAGCTTCTCATAGCAGTACCTGTCAGCAGCTGTCACTTCTAAAAACAGAAACAAATCTCTTCTAAGATGATGATGACTTTGAAAAGCCAGGTCACAGGAAATGGGAATGTACGATCAAGAAAGCAGGGCTTCCCAATTTGTGAACTGAAGTACCATGATCTGCAGGGGGCCCTAATGAACCCTAATGGAGCCTAATGAGCCTAAATTAAAGAGTATAGGCTCCCTAGGTGATTATTAATGAGAACTTAAACCTCAGACTTCAGAGTAAACACCAGTAGGCTAACAAACACTGGAGAAAGAGCTGGAAAAGAGGATGGAAAGACGAAACGAAGGGGGAAGAGTCAGAGGGACATATAGTTCTAGATATTTTCAATGGTTCTCAATATGTCTCTTCCATAATTTTTTTTAGCTAAAATAATCTTTCAAGTCACATGAATTACAACCAATGTAGAAACAATAACATTCACTCACTTTCACCCCAGATATATTTACATTGCCGGTCCCTGGTTTTACATCTTCCTCCAAAACAAATACCCTAGAAAGAAAGAAAAAAATACAGAACAGATTTCAAATCACTTGATTTTCCAAAATATGTATTTTTTACTATACAGATTTGTCACATGCTTTCTACTGAGGGAGCTAATATGTGATTCTATCTTTTTTTCATTGAAAATATGACAAGCACCCAAAACTCATGAATGTTAGCAGAACTGTCCCAGGTGACTTCCAAAGATCTTAAAAAAAAATCTATAAAAAGCTATTTACAACAGCAGAAAAAATGTAAAACAAACTGAAGTGCTAATTACCTGTTTGTTATCACATGAATATCCATCCATTTTATGAATATTAGGAGAACACTATAGAAATATAAAATAAGTAACAGATCATAGATCAGACAAGCATGAAAGCAAAGTATACAAAAAAAGTAATATGAAAAATTATTTCAGTATCATGCTAGTTTCTTCAGTATCAACAGGTTTAACACAATTTTTATTTACCTTACTATACAAACAGTAATATTCATTGTGACTGCGACACTACATGTGGGATTTTTAGTCTTTGGATAGAAGACACACAAATCACCTGACTAGAATTTCCTGTGCAGTTCTCTGCAATATCACAATCATTCACCGCTTCTCGACACAAAACTCCTTTAGGTTCAAACTGGAAAAAAAAGGACAGAAAATTAGTGTCTTCATTTCTCCATATCTTGCCTTAAATGCAATGCTTCCTTATAGCTTTATCTAAAATAAAAAATGGGAAATATTCATGTGCTGACTGAAGTGCAAACACTTTCTGTGGTGTGACTGCTGCACCACTCAAGCCTTCTACTCGTGCAAGTGAAACCACTCTCTGAGGCACTCCCTCCCAAGTGCATCAACTGGGGGACCAAGCAGCAGAAGTGCTCTCCTGGAACACAGAACACCTGGGATTTATCAAACCAATACCACAGTGGCTTACAGCATTATCCTGACCAGGTCATTGTGCCGTTCTATGACTATTTTAGTCTTCTTTACAACATAAAAAGAGTGATCCTGATCCTCTCTCTAGGGGTGAAGAACACCACAGAGCGCCATGGCTGAACACTTTGGTTATCATAATCCCCCACTGTTGTTGCAGAATGGAAACTATTACTAAATGTACTGAATTCTGTACAGTTTGACACAATTTTCCAAGTGACCAGATATTCAACAATGGGCTAAGTCTCAAGACCTGGAAAAGCAGGAAGACATCCCATTTGTGGAAATTGTTAGTGCTTCTGGTCATGGACATACTACAGATGCCTTATTTTTTCCTGAAAGTTTTCTTAACCCTGTGATACCCAATACATTTTGCAGCACTGAGTTTTCCTTTTTTTTGTTTCTGCATGCAACACACATTTTGGTGGGGAAAACTGCTAAACCCACAACTGGTGCCAACGGGCACAATCAGTGGAAGAGCTAGACTAGGGTACTTTCCGAGCCTTCAGCTTCCTTTTCCTACCAGTCTTTGGAAAAATGCATACAGGAATTTTGTCAGAGACATTACAGGATGCTAGGATGTACACTCACCATGTTTTGCTTTCAATCCATCCTTCAATCCTGCTTTCAGGCAGAGTATTACAGGGGAAGGTAACTCCAAGTTTGGGAATTGTTATATATGGTCTTTTGAGTTGTCCTGATTAGCACCTCCTGGGGATACCTGTTCTGCAAAATTCTACTTTTCTGTTCATTTGCTCACCCTTGCCACTCTGTATGTAGATAAAACCTTGTGTTCTTTGCAAAAAATACAGAAGCTTAGTTTTGTTCTGATAGTCTTCAATGTACTGCCTATGTGACTTAGATTCTTGAACAAAATTCACCCACACTAGCAATCTGCTGATTTCTTTTTTTTTATATTACATTAAAAAAAGGAATGTGCTAAGGGAAATGTGATCTGTTCCAGCATAATCTGTGCTTTTTCTTTTTTTAACATTAGGATGAGCAAAAAGTCAAGAATGTGGTCCACAGTTATTACTAATGATCCTCCCAAGGAAATGAAACCATCAAATGTGCACAGACAAAGATAAAAATATCACACATAGTACACCAGAGTTTTAATTACATTAATACTAATTATCATTATTACTAAATGAGTACAAACAACTATCTGAAGTCATATTTAGCTGGGCTCCCTTACAGCCAAAATCTGGTTAAATCTCCTTTTACTATTTACTGATGTATCAGGAAGAACACCTTACAGTTTACATAGGGCTTGGTTCTCTTTACTCAATGGGATTTCAGTCAGTCCAAACATAAAGAGACACAGGCAGACCAAACTGAAACTGAAGTCATGTGTCTTTTAGATGAACCCTTCTGAACAATTCTGCTAGCTGTGCTTTTGGTTTTGTTACTGTATCCTTTTCTCAGACCCTCTGTGGTACAATTTTCCTATTCAGTCTCATGGGGCAAATCCAGAGCGGCATGTATGGCACTGGGAACGGCACAAGGACATCTAATGAAATCTCATGGAACTTCAACCTGATTAAAACTTCTCTGAAACTGGAAGGATTTAATTTACCTCTGCATTTGATGACAGTCCCTGCCCCAAGAAGCCAAGCCTAAAAGACAGAGTATAGCCCCAGACAAATCAGATTTCAGCCAATTTTAAAAGGTAAGCTTTCAGAAGAGCAATCGCAAGGTCTGGAAGGGATGTGGTACCTGCAGCCACCCGGATGCATTCCCACCAGGATGCTGCAGTGAAGGTCACTGCCCTTACCCGGCACTTCCGACAGCAAAGCCCGTTGCTGCACTGGGAGCCCGCTGTCAGGGTGCAAGTGTTGCAGCACTCTCCTCCTTCACTGGCACACTCCTGAGGAACACACACACTTATAACAGAATACATGGGAAAAGCACATGAGCCCCAAGCTCTCTTATTACTTCTCATCTTAGCATGCTACCTGAATGGATTTCTAATCAGGCTTTTAGGCACCTGGAAGAAGAAAAAGGCATGCACTTGTGGGGCGTGAAACTGCTGTTTCCTATGCAATATAGAAAATAATTTTTCTAACTTCATATTGTCAATCATTAAATACTGACATTTTAGCACTGACCAGAGTCGCGTTCCCAGCTAGCAAAATACTTTCTTTAACATCTTTGAAGGCCTGATTCTGCACAGGCAGGTATTACTATTACTCTTCAGAATTTATGTGGTGATAAAATAAAAAAGCTGGACCACATTCTGTTAAACATGATGGAAAATGTAAGAAATTATGAATTCTTTGGCACAGGACCTTAGCATTGCTTGTCTTCCCCCACTTGTTGTTGATGGTAGCAACGGGCAGCACCAAGTCTTGGAGAATCTAGTTGCTCACTTAAAGTGCATTGTACTTACCGCTATTGTCCCACAGTCACATTCTTCTCCATCTTCCACAAATCCATTGCCACATTCTGGAGGATCCAGAAGCTGCAGGGCAAATGCAGAAATCAAAGGGCATGTCTCTCCTAAGGGAATCGTTGTCATATTTACTCTGTGTAACATGGTTTTTTACCTAGCACTCTAAATTTATTAACTGAAAAACAGTATCCAGTCTGAAACAGACTAAGAGAACACAACTGAGGTGTACAAAGAATGAACACTGCTTTAAATTAGTTCAGCAATACTGCCCAGTCACATGGTAACTTCCATGCATAAGTGACAGTTTTACAGCAAATTCAGTTTGAGCAGAAGTTACAATGAAAAACAAAAAATGTGACAATAAAGGAAGAAAATTAAAACAATATGATGCTTTCATTATCTTCACAGTGGTTGCAATTGCTGTTGTTCTGAAATTCAAGGGATGAGGGCTCAGAGGTTAAAGCCTGCACTGTAAGTTCAGAAGGAAAACCCATAAAAATTTCTCCTTTGGTAGTATGTGGCTTAGAAATGCACAGAAAGTCAAGCAGATGGGTTTCTTTGTCAGTTTTTGTTGTAGCTGGATTTTTCTTTCCCTTTTCCTCTACCACAGTTGGGAACTTTCAGCAGTTTTCTATAAGCGTGTATCACATAAGGGAGATGAGGAAGTATAGCTGGTGAGACTTCCTCCCTTTCCTTTCAGTCTTCCCACTGAACCGTAACTTAAAATATCTAAATCTGTATACTTGTGTGCTATACTCTCTTCTAATGAACACTTAGACACTTATATTCTGTTCTTTCCAGTTTCATTGTTTCTGTTTTTCTAAAATTACAACACATAATTCTTCTAAAAGAAAATAAATGAGAAGGCATATAAATGTATCACAAGATTAAAATTTTGCAGATTGTCCTCTAAGTTCTCTTGTGCCATCTGCACAAGTACATCATTCATGGTGTAGAGTGCATTTCTCTCCACCTGCTGCCTCTCTGTCAGTAGTCCACAGGATGGAGCATCACCCTGCGCATTTCACTGTGCCACAAACCACAGCCTGACACAGGCTGATGTGCTATTATTAGATCCCCCTATTGAAATGGAAATTTGACTGCAGCATGAAATGCATATGTAGACTTTAACATAAAATGTATGCAAGCAATTATCTTTTAGAGATACTAAGGAGTTGTAAAAACTGCTTGTTTCCTATGTATTTTCCCGGACATCTTAACTTCTTCCTTATGTCTAGGTGGGCTGCAAAACAGAGACAAGGAGATGGCAGTAACAGAGCATCCTGCCTTGAAAAGGCCTTGAGGGGAAGACATATAAGGAGTGACTGAGGTCACTTGGACAGTTCAGTCTAGAGGAGACTGAGGGGAGACCTCATTGCAGTTACAACTTCCTCGTGAGGGGAAGAGGAAGGGCAGGCACTGATTTCTTCTCTGTGGTGACCAGTCACAGGACCTGAGGGAATGGCCTGGAGTTGTGTCAGGGGAGGTTTAGGTTGGATATTAGAAAGAGGTTCTTCACCTAGAGGGTGGTTGGGCACTGGAACAGGTTCCCCAGGGAAGTGGTCAGAGTACCAAGCCTGACAGAGTTCAGGAAGTGCTTGGATGATACTCTCAGGCATATAGTGTAACTCTTGGGGATGGTCCTGTGCAGGGCTAAGGGTTGGACTCGATGATCTTTCCAACTAGGCATAATCTGTGATTCTGTGAAAATATTGGGTCAATTTGCTACAGTACACAGGGACAGTTAAATATGAAATTGAAGAAAAAAAAAACACATTAAAAGCAAATTGTGTAACTTTTCCCCAAATTTATATTATTTATCCATTCATTTGAAAAGAGCATATGTTCAATCTGCTTCAGCAGCCACTGATGTAATTTTCGGGATCATAGCTGATCTAACAGTGGAGCATTGTCAAACACTGCACCTTGTCAAATCAACTTTCCTTTATCTCATAATTCCTGAAAAGTAAAAGTAAGTTTGTGTTTCACCGTCCTTGCTAGGAAACACATCTTTGACAACTTTGTGAATTAGACAGACATCCATTGACAATACCTTTAAACAAACTCAATCACAATATATAAAAGAGTCTGAATCACCATGGCTTCCACATCTAACTTCCACATTTCTGCATGCCATTAGAAACAAATTGTAAATATGCCAAACTAAATTGGAGCAGGGCAATTGGTTTCTTTTCAAATGACAGATGTGTAAACAAAATCACTAAAAGATCACAGAAACATAGAATCACAGAATCACAGATTAACCGGTTTAGAAAAGACCTCCAAGATCATCAAGTCCAACCCTTGATCCAACACCGCCATGGTTACCAGACCATGGCACTGAGTGCCACATCCAGTCTCTCCTTAAAAACCTCCAGGGACGGTGAATTCACCACCTCCCTGGGCAGCCCATTCCAATGTCTGATTACTCTCTCTGTAAAAAATTTCTTCCTAATATCCAACCTAAACCTCCCCTGGCACAGCTTAAGATCATCCACTCTTGTCCTGCTGCTGGTTGCCTGGGAGAAGAGACCAACCCTCATCTGGCTACAACCTCCTTTCAGGTAGTTGTAGAGAGTGATGAGGTCTTCTCTGAGCCTCCTCTTCTCCAGTCTAAACAACCCCAGCTCCCTCAGCCTCTCCTCATAGGACTTGTGCTCGAGATCAAGTAAGACACATTACACTATGTAAACAACTCACTCAGCAAAGAAATAAAACCACCAGTATTTCTCTTCACCCTTAACAAACTTTTAAAATGCATCTGCATTCTAAATTAGAAATCTTGCATCTTATTAATGAATCACAGTGCTTTCTCTCCATTTTTAATAAAACATTATTCCATGAAAAGAGACCTTTAGGAGAAAAGCAGTGTCAGCTTGTCCAGATCTGATGCCTTCTCTTCCCCTCTCTAACATTTATGGAAACTGTGGTTGTCAGAAGATGCACTTTTTCTCAGGTGCACCAGAAGGAACATGCATCACTCCTGAACTGGCTTTCTTCTCTTTTACATCTGTGACCATCTCAGTTATCAAGTCTTTTTTCCACACTGGACTGTCTTTCTGCCTTAGCCTCTTTCCTTTGCTTGTTGAAAGACAGCCATTAAGCAGAGGTTAACATTAATTATATATAGAAAAGAGCCAAGACCATTATTCTGCTTGCTTTACATTTTAACATGTGCTTCAGTAACAGAGCAGGAATATACTGAAACACTGCTGCAAATCCTCCACTGCAGAAGCCCTTGCATCTTGGCTGAAGTTTCTTTAGTCTTGCTTCGTATTTACCTGCCTTAAATGTCTGGTGGTAGGGCAAGGCACCCTCTGCAGAGGCTATAGAAGTCATGTCTTCATCTTGGGACAGATGTGAAATAAAAATGATCCTACTTCAGCCTCCAGAGATTTGTACCAAAAGACATTTAATGCAAATTAGAAAACAAGCTGTGCAAAAGTTTACCAAGACTCTTGAAACCTCAGTAAATACAGTCAGTTGTAATATATAACATAATACAATACAATAATATCATACAAATATATAATACAAAAATGTATTGTATTTACAATATTCAGAATAAACTGCATGAGGGATGGTTCTAGATCAAAGGCTCTGGGAACTCTGTTGGACATGAAACCACTTTATTAAAGATGTATTTAAATATAATTTCCAAACTACTATGAACTAAAATAATCTACTTAGACCCATATGTTGCCAGAATAGTTAGAACTAAGCAAAAAACCAGAAATATAAAAATTACAGGTTTTTTCCCAACATTATAATTTTCATTTTTCTTGGTTTCATCTAAATTAGGAATAGAATAGAAATAATACTCAATAATAAGGTAATGCTTACTTTGGTTGGTTTATTGAAAAGGCAGGCACCACCTCCATTGTTTAAAAATTCATGATACTCTTCAATATCACACTCAGAGAACTTGCTTGGAAGATAGTACCTGACAGAAATAAGGTAGCAGGATTACTTTCTCTAGTGCTTTTTACACTGTATTTTCTTTTTTCAAAATAGGAGAAATATGACATTATAGTTTAGAAAAAGTATAAAAGCATGCTGTTCAGAATCAAAGTGACTCTTTGTAAGTCTACCTAATTGGAAATCCTTCCAATAAATGACAAGGAAATTGCAACAATGACATAGAGCTCATGGAAAGTGAGAGGTTTAGAACATTTCACTAAACTTTTACAAGTCAAAGATCACAAGTTTTATTACACAGTGTGTAGTTCTCACAAGTGACTTGTTCCACTAACAGGCCTGATCTCAGAAATATATTTATTTCCCATACATACTGCAAGAGACAAAGACTGATCCTAGTTTGTTTCCCTCTTAGAGGAAATTGCTCTCCTGGCCTACAGAATTTTCATATAATAGAGTTATGCCATTTTAAACATGCTTCTAACAAACACCATCTAACATTTCAGCTTCCCCCTATCGTGTGTCCCACTCAGTAAATTTCAATTGAGTACAGAGCGCCAATCTGAGGCACAGTGCCCCACCTAAAAACCATATGAATCTTTGCATGGATCCTTTCCACAGGGAAATAATTTTTCTCAAAGCAACTTCAGTGATCTTTATATTCAGGTGCATAGTCACAAAAGTAGTTATGCTTCAAGCAGATTGTGGAGTCTCAAGGGCTTTCCTCTATCAGCTCATCACAGAATAAAAACAATATTAGCCAAAGTGTTATCCTGCATTGCTAGGAGTGATTACTGGCCCTTTCCATCCCTAGTGTTCATCACTTAGGTCTAAACACTACAGAGATTGTGGAATTCACCAACATTCATCAATAAGCTAGGTAAATAAAAGGCTTTTTTGTGTACCTAATTATTTGAAAGGTTTGAACATCAGATAAAGAATTTTAAGGCCCTTAGATATGAAAGCACTTTTGCAAGAATCAAAAATGTTTCTCTGATTTCATTTTTAACACACTAGAAATCAGAAAAATCCTACTGTATATGTTTTCAGGTATACCAAGGTGAAAAATGCACACATTCATACTTTCAAAGAGCTTTGGATGAAATACACTTTGTTCAAAATTTTTCTGACCACAAAGCTATTGTGAAAATTTGCAGATCCACTTGAAATGAATTAAAAACTTGGAGCACTGTTTACATCTAAAACTAGACTACAGTTTAACTCACACACATGATAAAAGAATTAAGGCCTGTAATAAGAATTAAGGCCTGTATACACATATTAGAAGGCATCAAGTTTCAATCAGTAGCAAAAATTTGCTGATTCACTAGTTCTTAGGTAAAATCTCCCCAGGCACACTCAGCCTCCAATGGGGGCATTTTTTTCTGACAATATCACACAACTCGAGGGATAAAAAAATGATAGATACAGATGAAAGATTCCAACAGAAACACTGAAAATGAGACATACTTCAGAAATTTGATTACAGTATTTCAAGAATTAAGGTATGTCATTGTTTGTTCCCACAACTCAATAGCAAACTTGCAGGAGAAAAGAAGCTACGCATGCTTCTGCTTCTTTGCAATAACATGGCTTGACTGCTGAACCCAGTGCTTTTAAAGTTAAATCAGCATTCACCAAAAATTCTCACATATCCTCTCATTAAGTCACTTATTCTCACATTTCTTTGAAGGTATCTAAGGTACATAGCTAATTCCTTACTTTCTGAAAAATGAGTCACCAAAAATATTCTGCTGAACCACAAGAGGGAAACATTTTCACACCTTTCCTTTATGTCACTGTATAAAGAACATGACTTTCCTCTAGTGAAATGCCTTACCCCATATCTCCCATTATGCATCCAGACCACATGTCCTCACACTTACACTCACCTGACAAAAAAAAAGATAAATCAAAAGTTACATCTTGAGTCTTGTGAGTCCAAAATAATAAATTTCTTATCACAAAAACCACACTGTACTCAATTCTATTTCATATTTTAATACAAGTTGAAAAGAACAATTTTTCTGTTTATTGCACACCTTAGTTTGTGTATTAGTGCACGCTGCCAAACTTTTTCTAAAAACTATGTATGATTCTATGCAATCCTGAGCTTTGAAAATATGTCCTGTTTTTCTTTCCTTCTCTTAAAGTGAAGTTAGAGGAAACTGCAGTGTCAGCCTTCAGCACTTGCAAATCATGAGTCAGCTCTCCCGTCTTCTCCTGTGTGATGATATTCAATTCCCAAATTTTCAAAGTAAAAAAAAAGAATCATTTTAACCCTTCTATTTTTTAGTTCTCTTCTTTGACTACACTAATGTGACTGGGGAAATTTCCACTCGAAAAAAATCCCTAACAATAAGGCAGACAAAAAAAGCATAAAACAGTCAGTAAACACAAGGCAATACAGCAGGATCTATCAGCTTCTTCCTCTGCTCTCCCTCCCTTTGCCCTGCAACTCCCTGGTTGGCAGAGGGCAGTCCTCCCTTCTGCCCTGCCAGCTTGCCTGGGGTCACTTTGTTTTGGCCTCAGTCCACCACTTTCATTACTGTGTCTTCTTTCCGTTTCAGTAGAAGTGCTTTGTACATACACATTCTGTAACTTGCCTTACTGTACCCATGAACATCAGTTTATTGCTTCCATTTTAAAAGTACAACTACAAAGGAAATGAGGCTCTGTCCAACAGTTGCATTCTCCCCTCTCCCCACCAAAACAGTGTCCTGCCTCCCTCAGCCATAGAGAAAGGGAATCACCACTATTATAATTTTCACTTTTACCCTGCCCCTACATCAGCTCAAAAATATGCAGATGAAAAATGAATGCTGAACATGTCTGCAGCATAGAGCATCCGCCCCACATTTCTGAGTATTTTTAAAAATAGAATTACATAATCTGCAAAATCCTTTAAATGCAGATATATCCCTGCATTATATACTTTCTTTACAATGTCTGTAAACAAAATCCACCTAAGCAGAGTTCTATTACTAAAATAGTAATTTATCTTTTTTCAAATAGCAATTTATCTTTTTTAAGCCACAAAAGTACATATGATCCAATAAGTAAACACTCCAATTCATCATATAAATTGTTCAAAACTGTATTTTTATTTTAATCATATCAAGGCTGGGACTTAATATAACATGGAAGCAGAGAGGGCGAGGTGCTTGTTGTGGGAGATTTGAATTAAAGCACTGCATATAAACAGGGGTCACTAAGAAGTTGAATACCAAGGTTACAGGAGAGAAATGGTAGCAGTAGGGTGGTAAATACAAGGTATTAGTGTAATCTACAAGAGGAACTGGGCATTTGGGAAATCTACAAGAAAATCAATCAAGGAAAACGGCGAAAAAGTTATATTGTCAAAACTATTTTGCGTAACAGTATTAAGCTTACTCCTCATCATCCCCAGGTCTAATAATGTATGTTTCCACCTTTGTGCTGTAAGACAGCAGCTGTTTGGTCCATGGATGGAACACCAATCTCCCTGAAATGAATGGAAGTGGCAGACACCTTTATGGTTTATTTTGAATGAAACACTGACACCAGTGCTGCCAGGAATTATGAGCAGGGGGATATCAAAGTATTTAAATAGTGGAAAATTAATGATATCACAGAATCACAGAATATGCCTAGTTGGAAGGGACCCACAAGGATCATCGAGTCCAACCCTTAGCCCTGCACAGGACCATCCTCAAGAGTCACACCATGCACCTGAGAGTATCATCCAAGTACTTCCTGAACTCTGTCAGGCTTGGTGCTGTGACCACTTCCCTGGGGAACCTGTTCCAGTGCCCAACCACCCTCTGGGTGAAGAACCTCTTTCTAATATCCAACTCAAACTTCCCCTGACACAACTCCAGGCCATTCCCTCAGGTCCTGTCACTGGTCACCATGGAGAAGAATGAGATCAGTGCCTGCCCTTCCTCTTCCCCTCACAAGGGAGTTGTAACTGCAGTGAGGTCTCCCCTCAGTCTCCTCTTCTCCAGACTGAACAGAACAAGTGCCCTCAGCCGCTTCTCACACGGCTTTCCCTCAAAGCCCTTCACCATCTTCGCTGCCCTCCTTTGGACACTCTCTAATAGCTTAATGTCTTTTTTATATTGCAGTGACCAAAACTGCACACAATATTCAAGGTGAGGCCATCACAGTGCAGAGCAGAGTAGGTCCCGTCCCTTGACCAGCTGGAGATGCTTTGCCTGATGCCCCCAGGACATGGTTGGCTCTCCTGGCTGCCAGGGCACTGCTGACTCATGTTCAACTTGCCATCGACCAGGACCCTCAGGTCCCTTTCCATGGCACTGCTTTCCAGCACCTCATTCCCCAGTCTGTATGAACATCCAGGGTTGCCCCATCTCAGGAGCAGAATCCAGCACTTCCCCTTGTTGAACTTCCTATGGTTGGTGAGTCCTCTAATTTGTCGAGGTCTCTCTGCAGGGCCTCCCTGCCTTCAGGGGAGTCAACAGCTCTTCTGAGTTTTGTGTCATCTGCAAACTTGCTTAGTATCCCTTCCAGTCCTGTATCCAAGTCATTTATGACAGAGCTCTGTGGAACTTCACCAGCAACAGGTCACCGGCCTGATGTCACCCATTCACTATCACCATCTGTGCTCAACCCATGAGCCAATTGCTCACCCACTGCAAGATGTGTTTATCCAGCTGTATGCCAGGCATTTTGTCCAGAAGGATACTGTAAGAGACAGTATCAAAGGTTTTACTGAAATCCAAAAAGATTACGTCAACTGGCTTCCCTTGATCAACTAGGTGGGTTACCTTGTCATAAAAAGAAATCAGGTTTGATAAGCAGGGCTTTCCTCTCATGAAGCCATGCTGGCTGTGACCATGTCTGTCCCTTCTTATGTTATTACAAGAAATAAAAATATTTCAATGTTGTGAGAAAAAGAAGGAAGAAATACATGTCAGAGAGATACTGATAAGATTCTCCACATTTTAAGATTTTTTTTTTTCTTGAGATAGAGTGAAAAAACAAATAACCTTACCACTTATAATTTTTCTTCTGTCTGAGAAAATGCCAATGTTTTGGGCCAAGGTCTGTGCCAGGGTAACTGCCATCAAGTCTGGCTTTCCAAACTGACAGAAATAAGCAAGGTAGGAAAAATAATCAGTTACATACAGGTATCTCAGATTCAAGTGAAGCTTTTCTCACTTCAAAGCAATAAAAGGCAAAATCACATGCACAATGTTAAGCATTCTTACTTCAGGGTAGCTAGATAATGAACAAGTGAGGAAAACTAAACACTGGCTTATGGATAAGTTAAGAGAAAGTCCGTTTATGTCTTGCTATTGTGGCTGCAAATATGAATGACAGGATATTGCAGAACTTGCTGAAAAGTGTATTTGAATCTATATCTGACTTTATTCACTCATCACTTCATTGAGATGTCCCTTCTACAGAGCTGCACTAAAATTCTGAATCAGTAAAGAAAGAGAAAAATATTTTGAGGAACATATCTGCACTGATAAGTTCTGTGCAGATAAATTTCCACCACTTTTTGCTCATACCAGCATCCCCACCTACCTCATTCACACCTCCGCCTTTAAGCAAGGAGCAGATTCCACCCGTGTGGGCTATTCCACTTCGACTGCTCTGAAATCGACTCCCCCTTTGACAAAAAGGAAAAGAAAAGGAAGTTTACCCTGACCAGTCCATGAGTTTTGCATTTATCTATTCCAGTATCTACCCTTCTGATTTTCAAATGAGAAGCTGGCATTTGCAAATGCTGGTTGCCACCACTACACTGCAAACTGTGCAGAAACAAAATGGGAAAAACAGATAACCACTCACACACCTCACATGACAAATTATCTCCAGAAAAGTTATACCATCTTGCCTCCTCCTTCTCAGAATATTGAATACAAGAAGGCATAAGAAGAAGAGGACTATTTTGCCAAATCACCTAGATCTCACGAGCCCTTTGTTTCTTGACATACCACCACACTGAGTGACTTCTGCTGGCACATGCTACAGGCAGAGTGCAGGAGAGGCCATCATGCTGCCAATGCAGGGGGACTAGTAAAATGACACTGTCTAATTGGGCAATGCTGATGGTAAAACTCATAGGGAGATGCATTAGTGGAAGATGCAGAGGTAGGTGAAAATGCCCTGAAACTGCAGCCCATCTCATCCAAGGAACAGATGCACTCCAAGCCTAAATCTAGTCACCTCTTTGGCGCTGACCACGTCAGCATGAATGACTGCCAGTTACTGGAGACAAAATATACTCTGCTTTGCTTGAGAGTACTGATCCATCTGAGCCCTGGCAAGTTATTTTTCTCAAAAAAATAAGAAAACCATCGAGAAACAATACAATGGGCTAACTGCGATGAAGGTGAAAGTTCATTTGTAACCACCGTACCATCACACCGGCTAACCTCACCTCCCAGTTTAGCCATGTCTCACTCAATTTCAGAAACTGCTATTTCTAAACAATCTATGAATGCAATACCTCAAACACCATTTGGTGGCGCTATAGATAGCATTAGAATTAGCATTACAGGCCAAATCAAGCTCTCTTCTGTCATAGTCAATCCACACACATTCACAAGAACAAGACTTCCCCCCAAAGATCTTACAGTGTACCAGAGAACATCCATGAAGGATGTGAGAAAACCTGATTCCCATTTAACAGATGAAGATTTGAGCCATGGAGAAACAAAAATCTACAAGCACCACTTGCAGATCCTACTAGCTTTCTTCATGACAGAAGTCAATGACAGTAATTAAGCATGTGCAAAAATTCTGAGAGGATGGATACTGGACTTGGGTATCCTGGAACCATACTGGAGTAATGGAAAAGTGAGGTGTTTAAGTTAAGTTTATTCATATAGGATTCTAAAATCCTATATGAAGGATTTCAGAATTTCTCTCAGCAGAGAGAAAAAAGGACCCCAAAAGATATTCATTTGACCTGTCAGTTGTGGATCAAAAATCTCAGCCATGAACCTCTCCTCTATTTTTGGAGGTTCCATTTTATTATATCAATCTTATTTCCAAAACAATTAAGATATTTAGAGAAAATAACATTCCTCTCATCCTATTCTTCCTATAGCTCAAATATCTTGGGAGAACAAACTGTTTGGAGGATCTGAAATACTTCAGTAATCCTGCAGCATGCAGGTCATTCAGTAAAGTAAAGCAGGCCATAGTGTGCTTAAGCAGGAAACCTCATTGGTTTCAAAACTGATGTTCTGCTTTCAAATAATACAGCAGGGCCATCCATACTCTGCTGCTGAAGAAGCCAACCTCCGAGGTGGAACCATGCATGACCCTCCAGGTATCTGCATTTGTGGATAGGTAATTGCACAGAATAACAAAGGATTACAGCACATGCAGCTCAGTCTTAGTACGTTAAAACTAAAACGAGAGTCAAACCTCTAGTTGCATTGGCAGGCAACTTGTGCATTATCTTTTCCCCACCTCCCCACCCAAAACATTTTTTTCTGAATTATTGTGGATTACATACACAACAGAAAGGAGATGCATGAGCATCTTGTGAGAATCAACCCCCAAGGAAAGAAAAAGCCCAGTAATAAAACATCACAGGAAGTTACGTACGAAAAAAGGTGAACTGCGTCACTTTTCTCTCTGATAAAATCCCTCCTATATTTCATAAACTCACGCAGGGTCACCAAGGGATTTTCAGATATGGTGAACTTGTTATCAGTAGCCCAGGTTTCCATGGCAACCAATACTATCCTGGTGTTAAGTTGTTCTTTATATATCTAGTATATTAACAGAATGAACAAATACATTATGTCAAATAGAACAAAGGTGAGTTTTACCCTTTCTCGAACTAGCTTGCATTTTTACATAACTAAATAATTAGCTTCTTCTAGCACAATTTAGGTTCTCCCAGGTGATTTTATCTCCCTTAAAACAAACAAACATGAAAACAAAGTAAAATCTAAATTTTAGGCCTAATTCTTCAATCAGCTCTCTTAGTCTGCAAAAAGATCCCCTGTAGGTCCTACACAGGCAGAGGTGCATAGAAGAAAGATATGATTTTTGAAAAATTACTATAGAACCATTCCAAATACCACAAAGATTTGGAATTAATGGGTCTTTTATAAATCCAGCTTACCCCAGTGACACACAAGGGCTCTCTTGTACTGAACAGTGATCTATAAAACCATATTTTTTACTGTTGTACACCTCTACAGGAGTATTTAACCTTATGCTGGCTGAATCACGAAAAACAGGCTATCCTTTCAATGCTGAGGGTTAACACTCCACACCAAATACTTTTAAGCATTTTTTCTAGTAATACTGTTCTTTTTCTTGCAATACTTTAGTGGGGTGAGGTGCAAGAGTCAGCATCTCATCCAATTTAGCATCATAGACATAATCCACAAAGCCCACCTCTACATCCCTATTCTAACTCATTTACTCAAATGCACTTTTTCTGGAGAATTTTAGTGCATTCTTATTTCAGATTGTCTTTCGGTTTTCAAGTTGTCAACACAGGGATCTTGTGTTAAAAATTGTCCTATTTAAGGTACTCTTTAATACCCAGACTCAAGACACTGATCCAGCAGGAGGATACTTAAACATTTGAAGCCACAAGAAGTCTCTAATGTGTTATGTTAGACAAAGGCTTTATAGGTGGCTGACCGTGGTTCTAGATGAAAATTTGTGATCTTCACATACATTATTATTGGTATACAATGAACTGACAACTCCTGCATATATCGCCAGGAGAATCATATGACTCATCTCACACATAAAAGAACATTTAGTTGAGCGATACTTACTAAATCTGCCATGTTCACAACTGATTTAGCATAGCTGTTAGTATGGCCGACTGACAAGCGGTGCTTTTTACACTGCAAAACGAACACAGACAAGTTACACATGCAGAATTCAGAAAAATAAGCTCCATTTCCAAAAAAGAATGAAGTAAAAAGCAACTATGTCAACAGTAAAACCCCTGTGCAAAGTTTGGTCTCCTGTGCTGAATGTAATGACAAGAAGCGATACTGGAAAATTGCTCAGAAATTCAAATTACTGATATACTTTACAACAGCTGTTGCGAGGATCTATTAATTCCTGTTTGGAAAGTACTCTAAGGCCTTTACTGGGAAATGCTATAAGAACCACAACATATTGTTACTCATCTTTATTGCTGGCAACTTTAAAGTCCATCACAAATGCCAATGCAGAAATTAGCAAAAAAACTTCTATAGTTGAGACTCCTTTAAAGGTGTTATCCCAGAAATCCAGAAGTGCCTGCATCCATGTTCTAATCTAACAGACTTCCTTTTTTTTTCTTCAGTTCTCTTTCTCAAGTTGTTTTCTGGTTTTCAGCTTCTATAGTTACACATTCCCAAAATGCTACAGTAACTGGTTCAAATCATTTCAGCAATCAGATTACAATGGCACCTTTACTGAAATCTGTAATGCAGTTCTATAAAGATGACACTGAAAACAGCTGTCCAGGTACTCCTATTTATAGGAAAAAAACACTTATGAATGAGCACCATGGGTATGGAAGTCACAAGTATCTCAGAGTAATTTAGGACAAAATGGACAAGATTTTCAGAAATGTTTAACTATCTTGTGCCCCATGATGCTTGATTTTGGAGTGAAAGTTGTCCATATTTTCTGGAAGTTAGGATCTTTTAGTGGGCAAGAAGAAGTGCCCAGCAACTAGCGGGTGAGAAAGACACGGTTTCAAGAAGGAATGGGGGGAAAAGAAACCACCAAAAATAAGGAAGTTACTGAAAAAAAAAAACAAAACACAAAACCAAAACCAAAAAACCAGAAGAACAGGACTGTGAATCTAAAAATGACAGAAAGGATGAAATGAAAAAGCTAAAAAATAAATGGAAAATGAAACACTGAAACAAAGGGAAATAAGTATACTACTCAAGTCTCTATTTGCAATTAAAATCTCACACTTTAGGATACTTAGGGACACCGGAGGCCTACTGAAATATTTTCAGTATAATAATTTATAAGTCCATTTGGGTTTTAAAAGCTTTATTCCCCAGCTGGAAGCAATGGTTGGACAAGCAGCTGAGAGGGCAGAGAGGCAGGCACTGCACCCCTCGCAGTGGTGAGCACCCCACAGGGACTGTTGGGATGTAGCCAGTTCCCTAGACCAGAGGAGGAAGCACGAATTTCATTGTGCCCTCTGGGAATGCCTGGTGAGGGTGAAAGGCAAAAGCAGCTCCAACTCTTTAGGGTGTCAGCTCCACACCGAGTGCACCTGGAGCGAGGCATCGACTGATGCACAGAGCGAAGTCTAAACACACACGTGCACCAGCCCAGGCCATGGGGAAAGGGACAACCCCAGAGCCGACAATGATACTTCCTTCTCCCAAGAGGAGATTATTTGGCTTCTTCAGTCATGGATATTCACTGCTTCTAAGAATAAACTCCTAAGTGGACTGACTCTTGCAGCAGCTGCAATTAATCAAAGTCAGAAAACATGGTCCTTGGAGAAAATCTTCCCACACAGCTAAGGTCCCAAGGGGAAACTTGTTGCTTCATGTCTTTAGGATCAAACACAATTACACCGATTTAGGGAATTTGCATCCATTATTATTCGTTTTAATCCAAGAATTGTTTGCTATGCTCACCAAGCTGAGCTGAAGGAGGAGCACGCTGTCCAAGGACAGTGACACATTCCTTGTATACTTTGATGTCTATTTTTGCCAATTTGGGTATTGTTTGAGAGAACCGCTGCACATTAAAGGAAGAGTAGACAAAATGTATAGAAATATTTTGATTTTTAAAGCCATAAAGGACCATAAAATCATCTAATGTCACCATTCAGATGAACACCACCAGTCTGAACTTTTATCCAGTTACTTCAAGATGGGATTCTATTGTTTGTGTTTGACACTACCTTTGAAGACTGCAAGGCATGAAGAATTCGCCATTTCCTTTGATATTTTCATTAATTATTAATCATCTTCACTTACATAAATCTGTGCCTTTTCCCACTTTAATGAGTCTGGTTTTTCTTCAATACACTAATCTTTATTATGTCTCTTTCCACTACATTAAAGAGCCTATTTATGTTCTCCCAGAGAAAGTATACAAGCTTAACAAAATAATTTCTCTATATTGATTTGGATGTATCAAAAAAATGTAGTCACTATTAATTTCCCCATTGTCAACTGCAATAACTGCACTATTGATTGCTGAGTGGCTGTAACTAAGAGAAGTGTTCAAGAAAGCCAGAAAGAAAATCATCAGCTTAAGTCACACTGACATTACTTTATGACCCTTTTTCCTGATACTCAGGCCTAGTTGCATTCCTTGTGTAATTACCTTGCCAAAATTCACAAACAACTTCATCAATGGTTAATGAAACCAGAATCTTTTTTATTAAGGACATAGTAAATGTAATTGTTGCCATATATTGTTCTTAATTGTTATCTCTTATGGATCAATTAAAGGTGATGCTAATTATAATTGTAAGATGTTGAAGTGTGTCAGTCTTACCATTAGATGATCATTTACAATCATTAACTCAATGTATTTTGTTTCTTCTTCAACTTTACGTGGAATCTGACGAACCTATAGAGAGAATATAACTCTAAGGTTAGAGTCTTACAATACAGAGAGAGTGTAACTGGTACCAAACACCTGCACTTAGTGGCTCCCCCACTTTAATAAACAGGGAATGAACTCTCAGTTTAGAATATTTATTTTGAATCAAAATAAAGTGAGCTACTTGTCACTATTGTAACATAAAAAAATATACGTATTTCATTAATGGGAGTTTCTGATAAAACTCTATACTCAAAATGAGAGAAAACAGTTTTTCATTTGGAATTCAGCAGTATTTAACAATTTAATAACTCTTCAAGTAAGCAATGTCCAAGAGAACCCAACAATGTTCAGCCCACATTACATATCTCTTTTTGTAAAAGCTGTATTGATATAGAGACCTCGTGCCAAACCAGCACAAGCAGCAGAACTCCATGTGGGCAAATTAACTCAGCAGACATGAAAAAAACTTGATGGCATATCACTTATAAACAAACATATTGGCACATACCTGCCTTTTCCTTCTTTTGTGTCTTGGCCTTACAACAAAATTCTGTGATGTAGCATTCATCTGCCAGAACTCTAAGCAGAAAACACAGACAAATACACTGAATATTTACAAGAATATATTCCAACAATTGGTGACCCTGATGCCACACGACTGTATTATGGCATTCTTCAGCACATCAGATGCAGCAACAACTCATTTTTTAAAGTTTCCAACTAGAAAGGAGGCAATGTTACAGATGCTTCTCAGTAACAGAGCTCTTATTAAAAACTCTACTAGTGATAATCTGGGTCTGTTGAAACAGATGATCTGTGGGTGTCACACTTCTGAAAGCACAGCAGATGTTCTATGCCAAAACTTCACCAACACAGGGCACGAAATATTATTAGCACAGTGCTCCCATGGAGTGAATAACATTTTCAGGAATTCAGCAGCCATTGACAGAGTTCTTGCAATAGCTACCTAAATTAATAAGAAGAGCATGGAAGGCAAAATTAATGCTTTAAGACGATTATATTCTCAAAGCAAAATATGTCAGGGTTGAGAGAAACCATATAAGATTTGGCAATGCTCACTTATCAATACAATATTCCTCCCTGCTAATCCCACTGTGTCTTTAATTTCTTAAACCTCTAATCATATGCACCAAGTAGTTTATTCTTTTGCCAAATCCCTTCACCAAATCTATTACTAGCCACTCATGGAAAAGGACACATTATACATTAAGCAGAAGACAATACTTGTTCTCACCCTTTTAAATGTCCAAGAAGTAATTTTCCATCATTAATCTTAGATTCATAGTCGCTGCCTCTCTTTCCCTATACAAAAGAAACCTCTTTCCTTATCTTGTATAAACGTGTTTGCTACTCATATAACCCCAAGATCTTTCTTTGAGACATGTAAATTAAATGTTTGCAGTTGCTTCATTTGTAATATTTCTTTTTCCCTTTACTGACTTCACACCAGAGGCTCCCTATTTATAGAGACCCTATAGAGACCTGCAGTCTCTTGAGTTTTCAATGGTGAGAAACTAAATCTTGAAAACTTTCTTACAGTGTTGTTTTTATTATGCTTTATATATGTTAATTAATTTAGCATGTGTTCTGGTGCCACACAACTGGATCTTAACCTGTCATTTTTGGTTTAATAACATGAGTAATGAAATTGGTAAAAATAACACTTTTCAACCAATAAAAAAATAATTTACAATACGTATACAGGGTCTCAGATAACTTTACCAGCAAATGTGATTGGTTTACCACAATTAGAAGTCAGTCATCTCCAGAGGGAAATGATGCAGCCATTAATGTTAACTCATTAACACTGTGTTATAATTCACAAGCTGGATGAATTCACACACAGTACATTTCCAGCCAAGAGCCTTCAGGCAACAGAACACGACCAGCAAAATCACTGAAAGCCTAACAAATATTTTGATGGGAGTAGTTTACCTTGAAAAACTGTAATGAGGATTCGCAGTCATAGAATCATTTTGGTTGGAAAAGACTGCTAAAATCATTGAATCCAACTATAAACCAAACACTGCCAAGTCCAATTAAATCATGTCCCTAAGGGTCACATCTACACATTTTTCAAGTGATGTCAAAAAAAAAAAGGGACATCTGTTACACATTATTTGAAAAATAGCACCTTCAATACCAGAGTGTTATCTAAGGCTGTATCTAAGGCCTTACAGGTTGTGGGGAAAAATATAGTCTAGTAAATACAAAGTCAAATGCTCTAAGCATGCCAAGTCATCCATCCAAGCTTTCCTTATTTAAAGCCCTATTACCTCTCAGACCATTCCAAAGTACTGTACAATAAAATCTTCTGTGGAATACCTTGTTTTTTTTTAATACACAAGGAGCAAAAGAATGTAAAAAGTACATTGTTATCAATGATAGCGATATTGTAGTATAACAGTGTGTGCTTTTACTATCACTGATAGTAAATAATCCCTATTACTTGAATTTTTTTCCTTTATAATATCAATATTGGAGCTGATGATACATCCAGTTCATTCCTAATGCAGTGCTGAGTGGAAATCTTAGCTTATACAAACATTCTTTCAAAGATAAGAGGAAAATCTTGGCTTCAAGGAAGATTTCCTTAGGCTGGTCAAATTGATAAATTACAAGAGTAATAAGGAATGTAAGAAATACTGATGACATACCATAGCACAATGTTTGCTACTAATAATAATAATTCTGCTGTAGTACTTTTAAAAAATCAATCATAACAATACTATTAGCAATTAATTGCCAATATTATTTAAAGAAAAAAAGACAAGACAACACTCAGCACTCTTCCGCACTGGAAGGGAAGAGGCAGGACCACGCAGAGACATCGACAGGGCTCTCGTCCTCTGGAGCTGTGGCTATGCATGGAGGATGACTTAAAGAGACATAAACTTAATAAACACTGACAAAGAAAAATTGTGGGATTCTTAATGAGGATGTATTATAACTATGGAAATTTTCACTACAAACCTCAGAAACACCTTTTCTAACAATTTTACAAAAGCAAGTATGGGCATATGGGAAAGCAGACTGTGAGTTAAAGTTTGTTTATCCATACATGGTATACTAAACATAAAGATTCATTCTTCAGAACCAAAATTAGGCGAGCCAGTTGTAGCAATTTCCCTTGGCTTTTTCCTCACTAGCTCTCTGAATTATTCTACTTTGCTTGACAACTACCAAACCCGCACACACTGTGCTCCAGGGAAGGACCATTCTATATGCAGTACTCAGCACCATAAGATCTCAGATTCAACTGTTACCACAGGACAAAAAGTTTGTAACAAGAAGACTGGACATTCATAACTCTCCTGAAGAAATTAGTCTAGAGGTAGTTTGTACTAAAACATCAGTGTTTATGACAAAAAGTTTTATTTATCTAGGATATATATCGTAGAGTAGGAAAATGCATCTGTAAAACTGGCAGATCCTTGACAGAATGGGGATATGTCATAAGTACTGCAATTTTAGCTTCAATTAACATGCCAACTTCTCAGATGAAAACTCATTTTTTTAAAAACCCCTTCTCCATCCATACAAAATATGAAAGGTTCGTGGGCATTCATCATACAAACACTTGAAACCACTTCTGCCTCTAAATTCATTTGCACTGAAATGCATGGCTCTCATTAGAGCCAGTACTGTGAAAGATGCTGATTGGACTGGAGATGAGAGTCACTGAACAGCAAGGACATTTGGCAAGTTCTTGTCTCCCATGCTTATGCTCACACCATGGTACTTGCCCTGTATCTCAAAACAGGAAAAATTCATGAAGAGTTACCAACCACTGGCAATGTAAGGTTTATTTTTATCATCTTTAGGCTACCTCAATCCTTTCCGCTCTACAAATACTAGCACATAATTCAGTCCATACACCACAGGATTTTTTTAAGAGAAACATATATCACAACATGAAGTTCTAGGAGAGGTTTCATTCATTGGATTCAGGGTTCTTTTAGCACTTCCGTCAAAATCTTTTTTTTCAATGCCTTTTTACTTAATTGGGCAAAAGAAGATACATACAAAGAAACAATATACTATCAGAAGATGATCTACCAAATACCATTAACAAATTTGGCCTTAGACTAAAACATTTCATAAGTCATGAATAGTAAAAAATCATACCAGATGGTAGGTCATCAGAAGGAAACTCAAACAACTTGGATTTGTAAACAGAGTGGAAATGGAAGTCATCCTGTAATAGTAAATAATTGCAAGAATTAAACTGGGAAAAACTAATCCATCTCATGAGCCTTAAACAAACAATTCCAAAGGTTCTTGTTATCCAACACATATACCAGTGAACATGCAAGTTGCAAGGCACCATTCTTCTCCTTTACCCAGCTATAATATGATCACTAACATCACAGTTAATCGTCTTTCACTGGAAATATCTGAGTACATCAAAGTGGCTGAGCATGCCTAAAACTAGGCTTAAGAGAGCTGCCAGAGAGACTCAATGAGAGTTGCAGGAGATGCTGAACTAGAGTCAAGGATGAACCAGGAGGAAAATGATGTAATGAACCCACAGTAGGAAGTGCCAGAGAAGGGGACAGGGCTTCTGTTGCTGGCTCCAAGGGACCCTCATCACCCTCTGTGCTGCACTGCTCTACAGTCAAGTGTTATGGAGTACACACACATATATATATACCACTGCCTAATTTTTGTCTGTGATGATGGAGTCTTACATATGAGGTAAATGAGTGGAGAATGAGGGGATGATCCTTTGGTCCCACAGCCTTACGCCTACCCTGCACCCATGGATGACTGTAGTCAACAAATACAGCAGGACTACTGTAAGGTCTACTTACATCTGAAGTGTAGTTCTCATCTGGCTCAATAAGGTAAGTATGATTTCCATCATAGAACATCCCACTGTCAAGAGCAGGAAATGTAAATACTGATTTACTAAACAAATACTGGTGCAACATGGAATTAAGTTTAAGAAGTTCACATACTCTAAAAATTTAAATATTTAGAAAAGGAAGCAGTTAAAACTGGTTTCAGGAATGAATGCAATTTCCGATCAATCTTTTGTTTCTTCACTTCAGAAAGAAAGATTTTCTCCTGTGGTTAAACAGACTGCTCTTTCTTCCACAAACCTTCTCTACAACATATACAAACACCAAAAAATGGACTAATTTAGCCAACTGAAAATCCAGTTCAAAGCCCCCACTCCTATGCAAGAGATATCTACCTTCAACAGATAAGTAAATGACCAGTCTTTATGAACATGCATATTTGGAACATAAGAATAGCTTTCCTCAAATAAAAAAATGTTATTTAATTGAATTAACCTTAGGTGTTAATGGGTTTTATTAATTCTTTCCTCAGCATTTCATTTAAAGATAGTGTTGATACTGGTATTACAGTAAGAGCATAAAGTCAAAGAGTATTTCTTATATCACTACCACTCTGATCTTCAAGCAAATCAGCATATTTTTTAATAATTTTGCCTTTATTTCAGTGGCATACATGCATGGTTGGGACTAGGTTGTATCAGCCTGTCCCTTTCAAAGGGCCACTACTACGGTCTTTAAGTTTGGCCATAAATATGAACTGTGAACTCAAATTAGGCACATAGCCCTCAACAGCAGCACAAAAGCAAGATTATTTATTTATTTGCATTACTCTTAAAAACACCCAAAATAAACACTAAATTATAAACAACAAAACCAGATACTTTTCTTTTTTCTTATGCAGCACGTTTTCCTAAACGGCAAAATTGACAATTACAGAAATATCTTGGGTTATTGACTGTATAACATACATCAAGTGTGAGCATGAGTAATTTCTAAAATGTAAAGCTGTTTCACCATTCAAATTACCTGTGCCTACTCTTTAGAAATAAATACTGTCTACACAGTTTACGTGAAATATTCTAGCACCTACTGAAGCTTCTTTGCTTGGGAATAAGGTGAGGTTGGGGAATATCCTGTAGCTTTTTATCAGGCAAAACTTCCTTGTAATTGCAATTTTAGTTAAGCACAGTCTGCAAGACAAAGCTCTATCAGCAAACAGCTTCTCGTGAGACTGCTGCACCCAGCAGCACTGATCTCTGATCAAGTCACTCAACAGTGACAACAGTAACAGTCACAGCTGACCTATAGATCTGGCTTGTCCTCTCAAAGCATTAATGGCTCTTTTCCAAACAACTTCAACAGCCCAGTGTGCTGTGAATAAACCCCATGCTCATGGACGTGTTAGAGAGAAACCAACACCAAAACATGGGCCATTTCAAAAACCTGCATTTTGATGATGTATAGTCTTCAAACAATCAAACTTGTAGCCATGAAAGTCAAATTTGCAGCAGTAACGGCAGTTTTAACACTCACCACCAGCTGGCAGCAAAATCCCAGACCTGCCTGCTGCCTGTGCCCTCTCCTCCAAACCCAGGGCTGCCTGACTATAGCTTATTTATATCCCAGCAACCGCTGTGTTTTGCATTCAAAGTCTTTTTTGTGTTAACCCATAGGAAACCGTGGTTACTGCACATCCCACAGAAAACAACAAAAATCCAAACAAAACGGCTCGCTGGAAGTTATGGTTGCAAAGGTACCTTTGTCATTAGTAAAGTCATTAAGAGAAGACATTCATAATTGTAACTATTCTGTCAGCCAGTCATCCGATCAATTTAACTAATAAAAGGAAGCACACAAAATAGACATTATCAACAGAAGAACTGATAATTTATGATTAAAAAAACCCAACATTTTCTCACATATATGAAAAATTCTGCTGTTACTGGCTGAGATCCAGAGGTACTAACATGCAAGAGAAGAGACTGGCATGAACTTTGAGAATATGAAGCTTGTTATTCGATTAAAGGCATCTGTTCTGTCTTATGCACTTCTTAAAATTCATGAAAGCAAATGTCCTGCCCTGCAGACCTTATCAGAAGACAACTCTTCCCAGATTCCCTTATTCCAGCGAGGCGCTCCGAACTGTGGTTGAAGTGAAGGAACTCTGATTGCCAGTGTGAGTTTCTAGTAATTACTTATCATTTAAATTCGAGTGTGTAGGAACTAGTTGTAATGACAGAAATGCAGTGTCAGAGAACGTGAGTTTAATACAGCTCAGGAAAGCATTACTTTCTCATACTGGATGCTCTAATTACCAGCCTGCTAGAGAAAGACTGTGAAGGATAACTCTGCTGAAACTTTATTGTAACAGGAAAAAAAAAGGGGGGGGGAGGTTGAGGAGGGGAAGATAACTCTCAAGAGAGCTCAATCACACAATTAAAAAAATGCATCATTTTTGATGCATCATTTTGACCGATTTGAATATCAGGCCATTTAAGAATACAGAGCAGCAGGATGCTCAGTCTTAAGAATAAACCCACAAAAAGAGGGCAGGGAAGGACAGATGCAGGCTCTCCTTCCTTCCTGCTTTTTCTCCTAGGAGTTAGCAGGGGCCAAGACCTAATGGATCACTGCTAATGGAAGCCATGCAGTGGCTCAGGATGCATTAGGATGCTACTATTTTTAGTCTCACTGTCCATACTGAAACTGGGCTCAAGTTTCTTGAGCTGCACAGCTGTTAATCAGGTAAGTGCAAGGATGCAAGCCTTCTGCATGCATTCTCGCCCTTCCTAACAAAGAACATACAAGTATAAAAGAAAGACACTGCTTAAATATACTACTAAATAACACTACTTAAATATATGTACTTATATGGTTGATACCAGAACTACAGAATAGCTGAAGATAGACAACAGGCTGAAGATTTCCATCAGCTAAGCCCCGTTTCTGCAGAAAAAGGCAAAGTTCACATAACCTCCACACAGATTCACTTGCTGCTTTGACTTTTCAAGCTGATCTCAGTATCAAAAGTGCTGAGATACTGTAATTCCCAGATGCAACAGGCACTGAAGTTGCTTGGTTGCTCTGAAAACCTGACCAGCATCATTCAATAGTACCAAAAGTAGACAGGTCCAAAAGCTGTACAATCAATAACACAGCTTAATGTAACCTTCAGATGATAGATGCTTTAATTATATTATCACTAAAATTATGAAATTCAAAGTAAAATTATTGCACCATTTTATATCTTTCCTTCTAGATTTTTCAAGATTTTACTATATCAAAGGTATTTATTGAATGCCACAACTTAAGGCCAGCAATTCTGTTTAAAAAAAAAAAAAGGATAGTACAAAATAAACTCTAAACTGACATTTTCTTTGTAAAGAAATTAGAAAAGAAAGACAATATACATCATTGTAGGAAAAAGAAAAGACATAATTTCCAAATGGTACACTGGTATTTTTTTCATTCTTGTAGAATAGGATGTTTTCAGCTACTTCTACTCTGCTGTCTCTAATAAATTATCTTAAAACAATACCTGGTCACTGCCACAAGTACTCAGTTTGAAAAAAAAAAAAATTCTGAAGATTGTTGAGTACTTAATATTGGTGACAAACTAGTAGGAAAATAAATAGCATTTATTTTACTATATACATATATTATTTTACTATAAATAGCTTTACTTTCCTTCAAAGAGTAATAAAAAAAAGGCCAGTAAAACCAAAACAGCAAACTTACTGTAATCCATGGCATGTTGACAAGGCAACAAATGATACAGGATTTCCTCGAATTTTTCCCTGATAATAGCAATGTTCTCCTCCCTGAAATTGGAAATTGAGACTGTAAATCCACAGTATCACACACCATACTGTCAAACACTGTTTTTCCATAAACACATATCCAAGCCACTCACATGACACCAGGAATTGACTATCACTCACAAGGGTGTTCATCCCATCTCCTTTTAGCCATGCTTTCGTACTTAGACAAACACCATCCTGACATGCTACACCAAATGGAGACATTTTCAGTGTGAAATCTCTGATATCCTGACACAGATTTCAGAGACAAATTACTCCAGAAGTGCTTATCTTTCTTCATTGACCAGGAAGAGTTGGAAGTAGGGGGCTTAGGCTCAGCATCTGCTCTGCACATGGCTACATCAGACAAGATGAACTCCGCTCTGAGGGTAAGGCAATTTCCTTCTTCTGAGGAGAAAGGTATTTTACCAAATAATAACCACAGAATCCCAGAATATTCCGAGTTGGAAGGGACCCACAAGGATCATCGAGTCCAACCCTTAGCCCTGCACAGGACCATGCTCAAGAGTCACACCATGTGTCTGAGAGTATCATCCAAACACTTCTTGAACTCTGTCAGGCTTGGTGCTGTGACCACTTCCCTGGAGAGCCTGTTCCAGTGCCCAACCACCCTCTGGGTGAAGAACCTTTTTCTAAGATCCAAACTAAACCTCCCCTTACACAACTTTAAGCCATTCCCTCAGGTCCTATGACTGCTTCATTAAAAAAAAGAGTAAATCAGAAGTAGTCACTAGGGTAACAAAAATAATGGAAACTCTAGGAGTAACTGAGCAGTAAAGAAATACAACAAAAACAAATATCTGCCTCTTCTGCAAATAAAATATACACTTTTCAAATCAAATCCAGCAGACCCTATTCAAAAAGTCCCCCTAGTTTCACTGATAAGGATGGAAGCCCTACTGCATGTGCACCAAATCTGATCAGTATTGAACCATGTCAATACTTGTATGCAGAATTAGAAAAAAAATCCAAACTTCCCTTAAATTCTCACTGTCACTCTACCCTTCAGGGTAGAAGAACTTGCCTATTAGTGCCTTACCAAATTCACCTATGTTGTAACGCACTAATGTTGATTAAAGGACTATGAAGGAGATTTTCAGTGCGCTTTTTTTTTAATAGCATTTACTTGCAAATACTTGTTTCATCAAATGTGTAAATAGTCTACCTAGCCTAATGTACCCAGCCATGTGAACATTTATGTCCATTTACTGCACAGAGGGAAAGGCATTACAATTACAGCTTTCTCAGAAGCCAGCAGTCGCATGATGCATAGCACAGTCATTTTAGACATCTGACATTAAATGCTCTTGCATTTTATGTTTCAGACATGAAAAAAATTATCAAGATGAGGCAAAAGGCGAGAAAATACATAGAATCTGTAGGTAGTTTTGTATTTTGATTGGGAAATCCTGTTCTGTTTTCTACAAGATGAGCAAACTGTTTTTGAAAGCAGCTACGAAGTATGGATGCCACTGGTACGAGGTGCTCTCCTTAAGAGAGTATAGGAGCCTGTTTATCAGAGCACAGCTGCATGCAGGGAAAAGGACTTGACCTCAGCCTGATCACTGGAAATTGCTAGTTCCTCTTCAGAATCTTCACTGGAGGGTCCGTGCATGCTATGCTGGTGCCGGACCCCAAAGCACCAACGCAGAACACCCGAGGCAGCAACAGCAGCAGCACTGCAGAGAAATGCAACTCCTGACCCAACAGATTACAAGTGACACTATTTGACAGGCTCGTTGCTTCACTCAGTGAGAGAATCCCTGTGGCATAGCTTCTGTTAAGTGTTACACTTCCCCCCCCCCAATTTCATTTCATCTCATTATTTCCTCTCTTCTACATACCACTTTTTCCTTCCACTTGCTGCAGTGACTGCAGCCACCTCCACTGCCTATCTATCTTGGCATCTTTGCCATTGATACAGACACAGAACACCTTCACCAAAGTGACCTGTACATTAACCACCATGATGCCCATCATGGCACCTCTCTGCTCAGATGTCTGAAAGAAAACTGGTGCCACACAGGTAATGTTCTGTCTCATGTTGGTGAGAAGCTCTGGGGCTGACCCGCACCAGGCTACAACGGGGTGTCTGGCAGAAGGTGTAAAACCCATCACCCTTAGACCAGCATTTCTCAGGACTAACAAGGGTTTGGGACACAGACCAAGTACAGTGAAAAGGAGGTGGTTTGAGTTTCTGCTTTGCACTCACATGCATTTCAGCCACCAACATCCCAAGTTACATTACATTTCAGACCCTATATTGTTTTTGCTGAAACCTTGGCTCATTTTCTCCATTTTATTCTCCTTTTTTACACCTATTTACTTCTATATCTTAGTTACTTATAGCTCTCTTCATTTGAGATTTTCTTTCTTTCAATCTGTAGGGTGTCCCCCACTACAGCATCATGAGACTACTTAAGGTTTTCAGGTCTTTTTTGGAATATATGAATAAGAAGTAAACAAAGAGAAATTCCAATAAGTAAATAACAAAACTAACAATCAAATTATGTGGATGATCTAAAACCTTATGAGTAATAAAATACTCTCTAAAGAGAATTCTTGCAGCAGTATTCCTGTAAAAGATATAACTGGAATAAGTGTATGAATATGAGAATAATATTGAAAAGACTATCAGTAGGGAGTTGTAGAGAGTTCTAGCTGTGGATGGATTTTGGAGTAATTACACAAATTGGTTTGTTCTCAGAAAATGTAGTTAATATGTACCAGAAATAGAATCTCAGGTTCCATTAGCTTGCAAAACCATGTTTTTGCAAACAGGAGGAGCATTTTTTCATACTAAGAATCCAGTCTGTGGCTCAAAAGTGTGTTTTGATCTTCTTAATGAGAATCAAATAAATGCCCCATGGCAGTACCTTCAAATTAATTTATTCTGTAATAAATCCATGGGAAAAAATTTACACATACAGATCTAGAAAAGAAAAATATAAGAAAAATGTCTCTAAATTCTTGCCTTGGAAAAATATAACTCAGACACACAACTTCTATTCAATCAAATCAATTCAACTCAACTCATTGATCTACTGAAGTTCATGGTAGTTCTGGTGGAGACAGAAACAACTGGGATCTCCATCTCAGGGACCAATTCTTATCACTACAAAACATTCACTTCTATATGCTGTCATCTAGGGGATATTTTTTATGTATGTACTTATGTTCCTATCACCATAATGTAAGTCCCTTCAAACCAGTTAATAAAATCAACTTTAGTTAATAAAATTTAATTTCATTTCTTCAAATGAAAATAGTTTTCTTTCAAGTACTTATAATGCATTAGTGGTGTGTTGGTTTCTTTCTGAAGAGAACTCTTCAGCATAAGAAATCCTGCTGTCAGGATACTCCTAAGTGAAGTTCTGAGGATTTTTATAATCTCAGCAAGGAAGTAGGAGGTGATGCAGTGACATCAGATGGCACAAGCACTGGACGGCTCTGGGAACAGTGATTATTTACCACTCCTTACCATGTATCAAGTGGACAAAACATGCCAGTAACATGTGTCATGTGGTGGGAAGGGTATAAATTGTATATTTTCTATATGGAAGACTCATTTTCAACAGTTCACAGAATCAGTGAAGAGAGAAGTACTTAAAGCTACAAATTCTGAGACTGGAAGTGTTGAAGAAACCACCGGATGTGGCTCTTAGTGCTGTGGTTTTGTTGGCATAGTGGTGTTTGGTCAAAGGTTGGACCCAATGACCTTGGAGGTCTTTTCCAACCTTAATGAGTCTATGATTCTATGGTTCTGTACTAAGTCAGGGACTCTACAGGTCAATGTTTTCTTTAGGGTACATGTAACTTTGGACAAGAAGTTTACTGTCATTGCCTTCCTGTACTGCTGAGGCTGAAACTATGTTGGGTTTGACGTGTACTAAAGCTCTTTTATAGCAAGTGCTATAAAAAAGTACACTGTACTAGAGGAGGAATCACAGTATGTGGGAGATCTAAGACCTAAGGCCTAAATGTAATCATTATATCTCTCTTCTTTTCCTCTGCTCTTGAAACCACTCCCTAAGGACTAGGGTTGTCTCTCTTCTCTGTTGGTATCTGTAGCATTAAGACAGAAGCTGAAAAAAAATCTTAATTTTTTTCCTAAAAATATTCTGGTCCCATATGAAAATTAAGACTTCCCCCATAGGGAAGAGTTGAAATCAGCATCAACGGCAGTTCAGTCCAGAACATCAAGGGTGTTTTGTGAAGAGCTATTGGCTTCCTGTAGCTATTAGAGCATCTCTCTGCTCTCTCAAAAGCAGGCAATAATTGCCCATCTCAGCAAATCAAACCTCCACACCTGCCTTTGTCAGCTACTGGGGAATGGTTTTGTGTAAGATAAGAGGAAATCAGACCGCTCTTCTAACATATGCCAGCCATAAGTGTGAGCAGCACATTTATCGTTTCTGCTCTAAAATTGAACCTGGTCAGCATGGAGTGTGGGAGGAAATTAGGCTAAATGTCATCTCCTATGAGACAAGGTCAGCCTGGCGACAATGCCTGTGACACAAACCTGTAACCCACACAGGCACACACTCACACCATATCCAAGGGCACACTAATGCTACAGCAGAGACAAGTTCAACATTTTTGGCCCCACAAGGTGCTCAGCCACTGTTCATGCTGTGGTTTGCATCACACAAGGCAAATTTTCTGCCAATGCCATTGGCACTCTTGTCCATTTCCTTGCATCAGTAAGTTATCCTTCCTTCATGAAACTTCTCAGCCTTATCGGTGACATCCAAGAGCAATACAAAATATACACTTGTTTAACAAGGAGTCTATTGAATTGGAGAGATAAAAGTGTAATAACCTCCTACAAAAAAAAATAGAAGAAAAAAATCAGAATGACTCCAGGGTCGATTAAAACAAATTAATCTTTATGATAGTGGTCACTTTGTGATATAATCTTCATCTTGATGCTTCATTTGCCTAATTATAGCAAAATCCTGAATTAGGGGTATTTGCCCTGTGAACTGCTACAGCTCATT